ACCAACTTTTTAAGATATCAAGCAGCTTCTGTAAATCTGCAGCTGTTTCCGCTAAAATAACAATATCGTCTGCGAATAATAAAATACTTAACAGCTCATCATTTACTTTAATTCCAATATTTGCTTCTTTTATAGCAGTAACTAAGTCATTGATGTATAGGTTAAAAAGTATAAGTGACAGCGGGCAGCCTTGTTTCAAACCACAATTTACTTCAAATCACTGTGAATCAAAACCATTTAACCTTATACAGCATTGAACATCTTTATACAATGAAATAACAGAATTGAGATTTTTTCCACACAGACCTGACTGTTGTAGTTTTGTCCATAATTTAGCCCTAGGTACAGTATCATATGCCTTTTTGAAATCAATAAAGGCTGTAATAGTACTTTGTTTTTTCAATTTTCTTGTTTCAACAATACTTGTAATGGTGTAGACATGATCAATAGTACTTCTATCTTTAACAAAACCATTTTGCTCATCATGTATAATTTTTTCACTCTCACAGAATTTAGAAATTCTTTCATTTAAAATACTGCAATATACCTTATACATTGATGGTGCAAGAGTAATGCCCCGGTATAAAAGTGGGTCCCTTGGGTCTGAAGTCGATGACTTTGGTACTGGAGTAATGATACCCTTAGACCAGGCCGATAGTACCATGTTAGTATTCAGACATTGGTTGAATAAAGCCGTGAGAGTATATAAAGCCGGATCATTTTTCAGCAATTCAACCGGTATATCATCATGACCAGGGGCTTTACCAGACTTTGCATTAATAAGGGCCCTGTATGTCTCTTCAACAGATATTTCTGAATTTGGGTTAAAATGTGTAAAGTCACCGACTTCATTATCACAGGCCCCACCCACATACTGAGAACAACTGCCATCACCCTTTGTGTTCAGAAGGTCAGAGAAGTCAGATGCCCATTTTTCAAGCACAACCTTAGGTTTGGTACTAATTGAACCATCTGGCAAAACTGTTTCAAATGGAATATTTTTCATTCTCTCATTACCAATACCAATCTTCCCAATTTGTTTCCAAAACTCAGTTGGTTTGACTGTTAATAAATCATCAATATCCTTTTGAGCATTTTTAACTTGTTCTCTCTTGGCCTTCTGAACACAACGGTCAAAAGCTTTCCTCTTACTGATATATGTCTGTTTTAATAATTTCTTATTACTAGTATTACATTTCAGCCAATCCTTCTCTGATTTACTCATTTCACTCACAAAACAGATAAATCATTTGTCCACCATGGCTTGTTTTTACGGAACCTTTTATTTGTTCGTTTTAATGATGTGTACTTAACACTTCTATATTGTAATTTATTGTACATTTCGGTGTGAAAAATATCTACAAGTTTATCATACTGAGAGTTAAGTATTTCCTGACCCATATCTGCTGTTTCTAAATCATTTATTATTATATTCAAATTAGATACAACATCTAAGCCACACAAAAAATCTACTGGTGGACTTTTTGTATCAAACAATGTTTTGTTTTTCGTAAAATTTTCTTTTTCATAGTCATTACCACTAACATCATAGCAGACATCAAAAGAAACTACCCATCTTAAAAATGAGTGATCGGGCATGATTGTAGTTGGGTTTACAGTAGAAAAACAACCTGAATTTGTCATCAAATATGTAGTTCTAATTACTTCAAATTTATCAAAGTTACACTGTAGCTGTTCATATGGGACTAGGCAAAAATCAACCACAGACAATCCCTGTGGGCCGATAAAAGTAAAGTCATTTTTTACTGTTTTTCTGCCATTTAAAATACAAAGATTAGTATCTATTAGAAAGTCAGTTAGGCATGCGCCATAAAAATTCTGAGAAAAATCTATAACCTCTCTATATGGTATAGTATCAATACCTGGTATAATTTATAATCGAGATTATCTGAACAGCGGCTATTGAAGTCTCCGCACACATATAACAGAGATAAAATTGACAGAAAAATATGAATCTGGCACATCAAATTCTCAAAAAAGTCATGTACATCAATTTGCCTTGTTGAATTATAAGGAGGCAAATAACAAAGGCATATACATATAGTTACATTTGAATCATATTTGCTAATAAGTTTTACCCATAAAATGCCTTCATAGGATTGATGTAAAAGTTCATACTTAAAATCATTTAAAAGAGTATTACTTAAAAGAAATCCCACACCACCAGAACCATTTTTTGATTTCTTATGTAACTGTTTTCTATTTTGACCAATCCACTGAAAACCATTAATATTCAAGACATTTTCATTTTTTAAATGTGTTTCTGCAACACCAATAATATCACAATTACAATAATTAACACAGGATTCTCTCAAAACACTATTATCTGATAAATTGTCACAGTTCCAACCCTTAATGTTCCAAAACCCGCAGGTTTATTCCTAACGTCTACTACCTCCGCCCCTTTCAGGGCGGTAGCCTTGCAAGTTACGAGAGTCATTTTGTCTTTCTTGCTGCCTTTGATCTCTTCTGTTGTCACGTTGGTTGTTCCTTCTAGAGTCTGTATCATTTCTTGAGTCTGTATCATGTTTTTTCAGAATCACTCTTGAGCCACGTAGCTCAAGATTGTCCGTGTTTCCATGTTTAACACTATCAAGAATTTTCTTCAAATTATTCACCTGGATTCTCTCCTCCTTAGTTTGGTCATTATGAATGTACACCTTTTCAAACTTTTTGATGTTTCTCAAGAGAGATTTCTTTTTCATAATGGTTGATTTATCGTTTTTGTTTGCAAGGGTTGCAACAATCACCCGTGGTCCCGCGTTGTTATTCTCGGTAGATCCTTTCCTTTCGGCATTGGTTACCTTCACCGATGATTTCATACCTTCAGATATAATATTGTTTACTTTTTCAATCACGTTTTCAGACCTAGTTTCACTGACGTTAAGTATAACTATGTTCAGGGAAATATCACTCTCAGTGTTCGGTTGTAATCCTGCGAGTGTAGTCTGAATATCCTCTATCGACTGCTTAGCATCATCCGCATTCTCATTCAATTCAGCATATATATCACTTGTCTTGTCGTCTACTAGTTTTTTTCAAAAGTGTAATCTCCTTGTTAAATCGTTTATCCATGTTATTAGACAGTCTTTGTTCAGTGTTTTTGATACGTTGGTTAACATTTTTTTCAACAGCGTCAATTTTTTTATACACAGCATCTACTATACTACGCATGTCAGTGTTCATTCGATGCATATTCACAGACATAACTTTCATTTCACAACTTACAGTTCTAGATCATTTTAGCTATATCTGGAAGCTGTAAATTGTCAAAATCTGGTTTTCCAGTAACTGGTGAATTGACGTCAGCAACAATAATTGTCTCTGCTGCCCCGTGACATTCACGTGACAAATCTGAATTTGAAGATTTCTTCTTTTTCATAACTGGTGTATTTTCAATGTTTAGGATAATATCATCAGGTACAGAAATATTTCTTTTACGTTTATTTGATGTAAATACCTAACTTAGTCCTGTCGACATAACTTCCTTCACAAATCGTTCACTATCCTCGAAATCTTTAATCTTCTGGCTGGATATATCACATGCAGAAAGGTTTTGTGCAACGTTTTCCATCATCAACAACCTGTCACTCACAATAGACAGGCAGATAATCGCCAAAAACACTGTCACGAAAACTAGTGATAATGATCGCCAACCGGTGTCAAGGTATAAATATACCCGCCCGTCTCGTCGCCCAACGCTAAAGGCATGAAAGTCACCTTTTTGCATAAACAAAATGTTTCCCACTTGTCTCAATCTGACAATTAAAGTTCGTTTTGCAAGATATCACAGTCTTTGCGTTTTTAAACCACAGCTTTTGTAATAAACTTCAATTTTTTTCTTCTCCCGCAATTTCAAGCATGTGTTACCGGTGCAGCGTAAGAACATAACATGTACATAAGTTAAGAAATGCAATGGTTCAACAATGTTTGATGTTCTCTGAACATTTCCTGATATATATATAGTAAAACTACAATGGTAAATGGGAACTTACAATATAGTACACAAAGGATGTGAATGGATAATCTTCAAAGCTTCTGATACGTCCGCTCTGCAAGAAGACCAGATTAGAAGAGGCAGGAACACTGCGACAACACTCGCGCATCACTTCCGGTTCAGGTCAGCCACCACTATTGGGATTGACGGGCAGCTACCACTACACTCCTCCCCTTCCTATTTTTGAAGTCTGGCCATCCGATCAGACTGTGAGAATCTGACCCTGCACTCAACTCGTGAGGCTACAGACCTATTTCCTGGTTTCAAACCAGTACTGGCACTGTACCTGAACCTATTGGTACAATGCCTAAGAGTGACCGATTTTAATCGATCACCCCAGCCTCCGAAGAGACTTAAACGGGCTCCCCCTCCGAAGACACTGAGAGCGCTGGGGGATGTCTCTCAATGTACAGCCTTCTAGCATTGGCGGAGGCCACTCGGAGGAGTTCACTCCAAGTTTCGGTTCGTGCCTTTGCTATCTTGGCCGCCACCCACCCAATCATATATGGTGTGGATACTTTACAACGGGGGGATTAAAGTAGGGGGCATCGGTTTCCAATAACAACCGAGACAGTTCAACCAGGCGTATGGTCTCCCGGTATTTACCTGACCCACAGGATATGGCTGTAAAACCTACATAAGTGTTAGGAAAAGTACCTATCCACTTTTGCAAGATCGCTGGTGACCCCGTAAAGCAGTGCAAATGAATCAGCTGCTCCCGGTTAACTGAGGGATGTGCCGTAAGCAAATGAAGCATAGATAGAATTGCTTCATCCGCCAATGCTAGAAGGCTGTACATTGAGAGACATCCCCCAGCGCTCTCAGTGTCTTCGGAGGGGGAGCCCGTTTAAGTCTCTTCGGAGGCTGGGTGATCGATTAAAATCGGTCACTCTTAGGCATTGTACCAAAAGGTTCAGGTACCGTGCCAGTACTGGTTTGAAACCAGGAAATAGGTCTGTAGCCTCATGAGTTGAGTACAGGGTTAGATTCTCACAGTCTGATCGGATGGCCAGACTTCAAAAATAGGAAGGGGAGGAGTGTAGTGGTAGCTGCCCGTCAATTTTGAAATACTACGGCAATGGAGTACCAGAACATGTTCGGGCAAGAGATAATTGAGGATTCTCTCTACCGTCAGCATCTGGTCAGCCCACTTCTCAGGATCCTCAGTACGATCCAAGCCAATTTCCCCGAGACCTGCTACCCCTGGATATTTTAAGACCTCCCCCAGCTTCCTTAGATTGGATTCACTGGGAGTCAATCTCGGATGGAAACCAATTACTGGTACAACCCCCTGATCCACCCATGCCCGAACCCCTTCTCTAGAAGGATATGTGGCGGGGTCACAAAACACACCAACCACTCCTACTAGATTAACCGCATGGGTTTCCAGAGGATTGTACTTTTCTAATGCCTCTAGAGAAGCATCAGAAATCCTTAAATCCCTAAGGGTTCTATCCAGATGACAATGGCTATCAAACCCATCTGGATATTGCGGAAGCTGGGACTTATCTTCCTCGGACATGTCAAATAACCGTCCAAGGTTCTCCTGTTGCTCCTTCTCTAACATTGAAACCATAAAGAGAAGGAACTTCCAGTGAACCAAGATCCCGACATTATTACCACAAGGCTTTAATGTCAATTTCTCAGGCACTGATTCTTTTAGAATTTTCAGGAAGTCCCTCATAGCCTGTGCGGATAAATCATCAGGCTTTTCTTCCACAGGTTGTGGACTAAGTGATTCTACTAAATTGACTAAATCACTTAAGTCCCGGTGTGCACCCAAAAGCCACCTGGTAATGAGCTTAAGGGCATTTAACCTTCTCTGAGAGACCTCTTCCCCAGACAAATGAGGGTTAAACACACCCGGAAGATGACAAACCAATGCATGTTTGCGGTTGATATCTTCCGTACAACCAGACACCGGACACCTCTTCCCAATAGGAGAGGGAGAGGTTATAGTGATGGACAGTTTTGGCTTCTTACCAGCTCTGACCACACTTTCTGGGTGATCCCTGGGCCTATTTTTCTTACCCTGGGACCCTTTCACCGGTCCTGGACCGTGTCCACCAGTAACAGTCCTGACCACTTCTGCGTAGGTTTTACCACCCAGGCCAGGCTTAAAGGCCTTAGCCGGGCGGCTTACAGGAGTGTGCCTTTTGTGCTCACTCAACTCCTCTCGCATCCGTGGCTTCACGGGACTAACCGGCTTCACCGGAGTGCGAACAGGACTAGAGTCCAATAACTTGTCCGCACCACCCGAGGATAAAGAGCTTACCTCACACTCAACACCTTCAGCGGCCAATAAAGACCGTTCAGATGCTTCCTCAGGCTCCAGATGCTCTCCAGTCCTCTCCAATAAAGGATCAGACTGGAGACGAACATCCCTACTTTGACCTTGGGGGGCGTCCTTCCACACTGGATTAGGTTTTCGGGCAATGTAGCTCACGTGCTGACTAATCCACTCGGGCGAGTGGAATTGCAGGACATTCAATTCTCTGGCAAGACTGTGAAGCCAACCACCGGAATTCCTCCCCTTGGCCAGTCCAACTTGGTCCAGTAAGGTGCTGAACCGATCCTCCCTGTCAGACAGGGTGACCACCCTAGCTAGCTCAAATGGGTTCACCAACTTCAGCCTAGCTGTGAAGTTTTGAACCCGTGATATGTTCATGTGTCTTGGCATGTTGAAATCTGAAAATATACAAATCTAGACTTAGTTCCTCCTAGATCTTTTCATGCAATCAGGACATTTATAAAGATTAATATTCAATGCGTCCACTGCGGTTACATTTACACACGATCCATGGAACCATTCTCCACAATGATCGCATTGAATCATAAATCTTCCTTGCCAAGGCTTTTGACAAAGGCAATATAACTTATCGTCGCCTTTCGGACATGCAATATCTCTTGGGCTTTGTTCCCATATTTTTATCCATCGCGGTACCTCGCGGTCATGACATGGCTTTAACCTATCATGATTAACCACGAATACCGCATTTCTGAGTTTTACCCGAAAGAGTACGGAAGATAACTTGGTAACAATTACCCCCGGACCCTTCCAAGGAGGACAGAGCTTACGGCATTTGCCCTTAAGCACTGCAGTATCTAATAGGTAAACTCTATCCCCAACCTCATAATTTCGCTCTAACACACGTAAATCATAATTACGCTTCATTCTTTTAGAGGAACTCTTCAGCCTATCACGAGCCAGCTTATGAGCCTCTTGCAGACTCACACTCAACTCCTGTGAATAGTCTTCAGGGTCCCTTACCTTACCCATTTTATGTGGGAACATCATTTGAGCTGGGATATTCACCTCACGACCAAGCATTAGCCTATTAGCTGTAAACCCCGTCATACGATTTACAGAAGATCTTAACGCTCCTGCTATTTGTTGCAAGCACAAATCCCATTGATTTTGCGTTTTGCCTATAAAACACCTAACCGCATCCATTAGTATGCGATTATATCTTTCTACCTGTCCATTCGAAGAAGGTCTATACGGAGTAGTCCTAGCTTTATGTATTTCCAAGACTTTACAAACCTCAGTGAACAGCTTCGATTCAAAATTCCTACCTTGATCAGAAAATATTTCAAAGGGCATTCCAAACCTTGAAAAGAAACCGTCCACTGCAGCTCGTGCCGTGACCTCTGCTGATTGACTAGGGAGAGGAATACATTCCACCCACTTGGTAAATTGATCTACCATCATGAGAATATGTTCATTACCCCTAGGCGTTTTTGGTAACGGCCCTAGAAAGTCAATATGAACTCTTTCCATGGGTGACCCTGCCTGATATTCCATCAATGGACACTTACCTTGTCTATTGACCTTTTTATTCTGGTTACAGACCTCACACTGTGAAACATACCTTTTCACATCAAGGCCTACCCCATACCAGGCAAATTTTTCCTTAACCTTTTCCCTAGTTCGTTGAGACCCCTGGTGACCTGATGAAGGTAAACTATGGCAGAGCGCCATAGCCTCCTCCCGTAGGCTTTTGGGCATAACCAATCGGACATCATCACTTTCCCTATCATGTTGATACATGACATCATCCAACAGAAGAAATTGCTCTTTGTTTAACCAATAAAATTTAGCCGCTGGACTAGCCCTAAACAACTCAGACGTCTCTGGAGTCATTCTTCCCTCTAGCCAACCCAGAACAAACAGCAATTCCTCATCCTGTCGCTGAGCCTGACTTAATTCTGCTACCGAGAATCCCCAACTGCGCAATTCTTGGGTGCCCAAACTAGATCTTACCTTGGCCCCCTTCTTATGTTTTTTCGCCGATCGAGCTAGTGACCTTCCGGATGGCACTATAGGACCATCCGGTTGACCGGTGAAAGAGGATTGCGCAGCAGAGGATCCCTGGCTAGACAGTATACTGGACTGACTTGATTTGTCTTGCCTATCCGTTGCAGAAGCTAATCCCCTCCTTGTTGTGACCACATTTATGCCAAATTCTTCATCCCAAGGACTTAATTTATCAGAAAATTCCCAAGGGATGTGTTCAATGACTTCCTTAAACATGTTCACTAACGGGGAGCTAATAGAAAACTCTGAACTATCGAGATTCATTCTCATAGTCCCAACTGCATAAACTGGTTTATCATTCTTAGTGACTAATCTAGTTTCAACTTGATTCCCGTAGACATTAGTACCTTCCCTGGCTGGCTTCCCAAGACCACCAGTCAACTGATGACTTTTACCGGCCAATGGTACTGCATCATCTACATCGTCAAAAAAGGACCCCCAATTTTCATGGGCTTTCTTACAATACTTACATCCCCCACAAGGTAAATCCCCAAGTCGATTTCCTTCATAGTTTACCCTACAATGCCCATCCCCATGAGGAATACGGGACAATGCATCGGCATTACCATGATTACGACCTGGCCTGTGCTGCAGCACCATATTATACTGAGATAGCTCCTCCAACCATCTCGCCAATTGACCTTGTGGTTCCCGAAACCCCATTAGCCACCTTAAACTAGAATGATCAGTCCTGACAGTAAACGGCCTACCGAGCAAATAGTGTCTAAACTGCCGGGTAAATCTAACTACAGCCAGCAATTCTTTCCTAGTGACACAATAATTTCTTTGCTCCTTTGTAAATCCATAACTACCATATGCTATTACTTTTTCCTCCCCCCCCTGGACCTGTATTAACTCGGCACCTATAGCCAGGTTCGAGGCATCTACATCTAATATAAACGGGTCCCCCAGGGTTGGTAAAGCTAATATAGGCGGTTTAGTTAAAGCTTCCTTCAAAACATTAAATGCTCTTAGATGCTCTTCCCGCCACACAAATGGTTTCTTTCCTGTTATGGAATACAAGGGTTCTGCTACCATTGAGAAGTTCTTAATAAACCCTCTATGGTAATTAGCTAAGCCCATAAACCGTTCCACCTCTTTCGAGCTTGAAGGAACGGGCCATTTCTTAACAGCTTCAATATCGCTTTCTGAAACGGCCAGGCTATCACCGCTAACTTTCCTACCTAAAAATTCTATTTCTTTTTGAAAAAATATACATTTTTTAGGTTTCAGCTTTAACCCATAGCTTCGAAATCGCTGAAGGGCTTCCCTTAAATTAATTAAATGATTTCTAAAGCTTGTACCTAGCACAACAATATCATCCAAAAAGGCTAATACTGTCTTCCATGTCAACCCCCTCATTACTAAATTCATAATACGAGCATAAGTAGCAGGTGACCCACATAGCCCAAACGCCATGCGCTTATGCTCAAATAACCCATATTTAGTAATAAAAGCGGTCTTCTTCCGGTCTTGTTCTCTAATCGGTACCTGCCAATAGGCCGAATTGGCATCTAATTTAGAGAACCAGATACTGCCCGATAAAGTATCTAGACAATCATCGATCAAAGGCAAGGGAAAAACGTCTTTCACAGTTTTCTCATTGAGTGCCCTGTAATCGATGCACCAGCGCACCGAGCCATCTTTCTTCCGAATAAGCACCGGAGCAGAGGCCCAATCTGAATTTGACTCCTGAATAACCCCTGCCCTAAGCATCTTATTGAGATGGGCTTCTTCTTCACCAGCGAAACACACTGGTGTTCGCCGCATACCCTGTTTAATCGGTCTTGCATCACCAGTCTCAATAACATGCTCCATAGCAGTGAAATTCCCAAGGTCAAATTCATCTTGCGCAAAAACATCTTTATATTCTATAAGCAACTGAGCTAGGTGACCCTGCTGCTCTTTATCAAGATGTTTACAGGATTCGGAATATAATTGCTGAAGATACGGCGGTAAAACATAATGCTCTTTACCATTAAGCTCAATGCTATTTCCTACCCCCTTATCTCCCAAAACTTGACGTATAAAATATTCCTCATCCTCCTCCCCCACCTGTTTAATATTAGATACCGGATAAGCCCTCCCAATCTCAGTACCCTTCCTATATGTTCTATATCCATCCGTGGGGTTTATGATACACATAACAGGATCAGTGAAACCTTTTCTAAGAACTCTAGGTTTAAAGGCCTTAGTCTGTTCTAGAGGTTCAATGATATAATCTGTTAATTTGTGTTCCATATTGCACTTTACATGAGCCACTGAATAAGGGGGAATAACTCTTCGTTTTGCAACAGTAACTCTAGACACTGCAGGTGCACCCTTACTTGAATCAATATCTAGAGTGATGTGCATACCATCGAAAATCATAACCCCTTGACCCATATCCAAAATAGACTGACCCTTAGTATAAAGAATATCAAACCCCAGTAACATTTGCTGTTCAATTGGAGCAACATATATATTCTCAGAATACCATTTTGAGCCAATCCTTAATCTTACCGGCCCCACAATAAACCCAGCCATTGGCATATCTTTCCCAGCAGTATATAACTTAACATCCTTGAGTTTATTAGGCTTATGTTTAAGCTGATTAAATATACTCTCAGATATAATAGTAACCTGCGCTGCTGTATCCACAATAGCTGTGACCGGCAATTCCCCCACCTGTACCTTTAAGGAAAATTGTGACGCTGACCTGATTTGACAAACTATAACCTGCTCAGATTCAGTTTCACATTGAATATTTTCCATATTCTTACAGGGGTTCACACAGTGGTCTTGAATAGACTCATTAACCGGAGAATATTCTAGGATCGGGGGGCCACTGACTTTCCCGACCCCTCCTGGTTTAACCGTTCTTGAATAGGGGCTTTATCCTGAGGACAATCTCTTTTAAAATGTCCATACTTCCCACAGCCATAGCACTTAAACCTTTTTTTAGATTTTGGCTTCTCCCCAGGAACGGTAGTCTTTTGATCTACTGTAATTTTTTTATCAAGCTTATCAAACCGATTTTCAAGGTTTTTGATAGCACTCATTACAGTATCCATGTTTAAAGAGTTATCTTTCGGTGTATGACTGATACGTTTATCAGTTCTAACCGCAGAAACCCTCTCCTCTTCACGCCGTTTATCGCGCTTACTTTTACCATACAAAGCTTGATAGCTTTGTTGATATTTACGAACGATCAACTTAGCCTGTTGTATAGACTCGGGGTTATGCATGTATACATAATGTCCCGCATCCTTATCTAACAAGCCATAACAAAATCTATTCATGACTTGGTCAATCACGAATGACTCCCGTAAGCCACTAAACGCTTGACCTGCCAAGCTAAGTAACCTGTCCACAAAATCATCAATAGACTCGCCCGGGTTCTGATTAGTCTGATGAAATTGTGCCTGTGCAGCACCTGGCAAAATTTGTTCACCAAATCTTGCCTCTAACTTATTACATAGTGACATATACGAGCGCCCCTCACCGTTTTTATGTAAAATTACATAATAATCTAACGCTTTACCCTCTAGCGCCCAACATAACGCATCAAATTTATCATCCGATGACCATTGACAGCGTTCTGCGAAATGCGAAAACTTTAAATGAAAAGCTTCCCAGCTGCCACGACCATCAAACGTAATATTCCTTGGTAAAGCACTTGCAGGTAACTTTGACCGTAACGGCGTTCCATAGTCTTGATCATAACCACCCACCATACTAGGCATGTTAAATTTAACATCAGGGGTTAGAACACCTGCAGTAGATTTAGACGGCACAAATTGCCTATAACCCCCTGCCTGATAAGGCGTGTTATGTTTAACAGGGGTTTCTGTTATATCTACATCTGAAGCAGACGACATAAATTGCCTATAGCCAGATGGAATACTCCGAGGAAATTTCGGTGTAGAAAAGTCTACCATCGAATACCCCAAAGTACCCCTCTGCATATTAGGCATAAATTCTTTAGGCCGAACTACAGGATCATTTACATTTCCCGAAGTCCCAGTTGGCATAAATTCTTTAGGCCGAACTACAGGATCTTGTAATGTTCCTGAAGTCCCAATAGGCTCATCCGCTTTGATATCGGCAATTTTCAATTCAGATGTTTCCGAATGATCAGACCCTGAAAATTCACTCATAGACTTAAATGATCTGTCTGCCGAGATGTCCCTCTCCGAAACTTCATCGACTGAAGTTCCCTCATTGAAAAGAGACTTTTCCACTTTTTCTTTTAGTGAAAAATCGATATTACCCAATTCTTCACCGGTAAAATGTTTACGACATACTGCCGACAATATTTCTGGGGTAATATTACCACCAGCTTCCCTAATAGAAAAGAGAATGGTAGCTAACTTATCACTTACCCCTGGAATCATAGCCAATTCCTCCTTAGAAGCAAAATTAATCGCAACTATGAAACGAGTTGACTCTTCCATACCTGGAAATTCTTTGTGTGTCGCCATATTAAATAATAAAGCAATACAATGTTTATAAAAACACTTTATTTATAAAACTTCACAGATAATTGACAGAAAAAACACCGGTTGAAAGTATCCCGAGATACCTTATAAAAATTCCCGATATAAAATTTAATTTATACCCAATAATACACAATATAAAGAAATATCGTGCTTAAAAAATTCCTCTGCAATTCAATTTAATGAATTGCTAGGCTTAGGGAACAAAAATTGATACCGGTATACAATTTTTAAGGGGAAAATCCACGAGGAAAAAATGGAGGAAAAAACCACAAAAAAAAACAAACAAGAAAAAATTGACGTGGATTCTGACTGGTAGCGTCAAAAATACAGGCCGCAGCTAGAATTAAATCACCGCTGCCACCATTATAGTAAAACTACAATGGTAAATGGGAACTTACAATAATGTACACAAAGGATGTGAATGGATAATCTTCAAAGCTTCTGATACGTCCGCTCTGCAAGAAGACCAGATTAGAAGAGGCAGGAACACTGCGATGTCACTCGCGCATCACTTCCGGTTCAGGTCAGCCACCACTATTGGGATTGACGGGCAGCTACCACTACATATACGTTAATGTTTTTAAAGGTTTTTAACAAACAATAAAGGCAGGTTAATCCTTAATTTATAAAACAAACCACTAAAACTTCTTGATTAAGAAAGTTAATTACAATTATTCCTTAGAAAACATTATTTTTTATCTTAATTAAACTATAGGCCTACGTATTTTTTCAAGGTGTAACTAATTAACAGTTTATAGCTTTATGTAAGTAATATCAGAGAAAACTTCAAAAAATTAAAAAACGGTTTGCTATAATTTCCTGATAATATTTTTAATTATTATTGTTATTAGATAATGATAGATGCTAGATGTTATTAAAGTGATTGAAAGACTGAAACCAAATCATAAATGTACTTGCTATATATTTATTAATTAGTTTAATCAAACAATGTTGACAGTGACAAAAGAATTATAGATATTATGGCTTCTGTTTTCTTTTCATTGTAAAATTACATGACCGGATATTTCGATTTTCACGTGCATGAACAACTAACTTTCCTTACGTGATAATTAAATGTGTTAGATTTTTCAATATCAAGGAAATAATTACGAGTAGCTATTTATTATGAGATATACATAAACATTGAAGTTAACATTAAATGCAACAAGTATCTAATCGTTGATGGTTTTGGTAAAGATTTAATCTTTTACGTAAAATATATAAGACGTATCGTAAATCTTTCAAGGTACTTGGAAATTGGCGTTCCACTTCATGAAAATTGTCATTTATGATTATTATAACTATGAAATTTTAATATACCGGTTTAAAACACAGTACTTATTCTGGGGCCGATTTGGTAAAGGGCCGAAACGTCTGGGGCCGAACCGTCTTGGGTAATTTGGGGCCGATATGTCTTGGGGCCGAAACGTCTCGAAATCATTGAGTGTGGGTGCACAGGCGCTTGTCACATAATCAAATATTTTACATAATCGGTCTATATATGTATATCTTTGTATACATATATATACCGATTATGTAAAATATTTGATTATGTGACAAGCGCCTGTGTGTGGGTGGGGTTAGGATAATTTATTAAATTTACTGTGTAATCCAGATTTGTAGGAGAAGCCATAACCATTTTAGATTTAGATCTTTTGCCATGTAAAGTGTGAAGATCAAAAGTGAACAAAAATTTAATTTAAAAGACAAAGTTCAAATTAGAATTTGTAGAATGGATCAAGCCTCTCAGTAAAGATGTTAAAACTGGGGCTAAACTAAACAGTTGGAGGAAGACTATTTTTATGGTATTGTGTCCTTGAGTAAGGTATCAGGTAGTTCAGATCCCTATTTAAATTTTCTGTCATATCGTTTGGAATTTCAAAGCATTCTTCATCAGTATTTTGCGAGTTTACATTTTTAAAATGATTATAGAGCGTATCTAGTTCTGCTTTAACATTTATAACTACCTGATACCTTACTCAAGGACACAATACCATCAAAATAGTCTTCCTCCCAACTGTTTAGTTTAGCCCCATTTTTAACATCTTAATGATCATTACTGAGAGGCTTATATATAATATGAAATTAGGCAAAGCCTATGAACGGGGAAGTTGTTAAAAATTCCTTTCATTCTTTCAGTGTCATTCAGTATTATATGCACCGCTTCCGTTTTCACTCGGAACACTCGACGATTATCATTTATCCGAAAAGTTGAGATTTGTTCCGTTATCGGAATACCCCGCCTATTATCATTGCGATACATTGTAAATGGCGGCGCCCGACTAGAACTGACACTGAAAATTTCATTGATAGGTATATAATTCTATATATTTTTTAATTGTTTTTTTATTTCATTTTCTTTTAAATATACATGTGTAGTCTATAGCTGGGCAAGCCAAAGCCCGGACTCGCTTCGCGGGCCCGGTCTTTGACTTCCCCGTATAATCAAAAACGCTAATTTAAATTTGCTGAAGCTTTCGGCCTTGCGGCCTTCTTCAGCAGCATTTATTTTACATACAAATATATCAAACAAAACAATGGAAGTGACGTAACATCAATGAACAACGCCCGCCGTGGCGTTGTTTGCTGTCTATCGCGTTATACTTTGGTATTAACTCCATAATTATGATCTATAGGTTCTTAATTTATTTTTCCACAAATTTTCTATTGTTTTTCTGTATTTGTCATTCCCGTATAGCTTTTCCTGCCCCATTATTGAAAAATCATTAACTGTGTGGTCGTTCGTGTAAAAATGTGCCGCTAACGGATCGTTGTACTTGGTTCGTATTCTGGATAAATTTAGAAGGTGTCTTTGGTACAACATATCCCCTGTTTCTCCAACATAAATATAACGTTCGCAACGCTTACAATAAACTGCATACACCACATTCGTAGATTTGCACGTGATCTGATTTCGAACCTTATATGAGGCCCCGTTGGAGCTGTCATTGATTCAGTGCAAAGCACATCAACGATATATCGATATCAAGTGACTAAAATCAACGATACACCGATATATCGATAATATCCTATGCTCACTTGTCTGTCATTCTCTTTCATACCTGTTTCAATGATTTCAGTCAAAAACATGTTCTGTACAGTGTCTTGTCCACTGCATGATTTTTTCCAGACAATATTTTTTGTCACCATTGCTATGAAATAATTCAACTATATAACAAAAGCATAACATTAGATATAAATAACTGCTTCTGTATATATTTTGGGTGAATTTTATAATTTCTAGACATTTAATTTATAAGTCAAAAGTATTGATTTTTTAAAATGTGTATCGATTATTGATCGGCAAAAAAATATCAACGATACATCGATATTGTCGATATCGATGACAGCTCTAGGCCCCGTTCACACCAATGTCAACTTGTGAATATAGAATACATACTGCATATATCTCTTGCAGTCTGACACAATTCTAAACTGTGTTTAGATATTAAATGGCACATTAAGCCTCAGAAATGAGGGCATTTTTTCTTTTGAAAGTGCAAAAATGTGTTCAATGAAGACATAATAATGAATTTAATGGTTAATTATTAGGTTGTTACTACACTTAAGTGAAATTTTAGATATGTATATAATTCTGCTTCTAAAACAATTTTCAAACATCGAAGAATATGTAAAATATGTACTGCAAATATTTGTTCACATTATATGTAATGATTAATCATTAAAATATATGCATTCATTTCTTATTGAAAAATTTGACTTAGACTTTATAGAATATAAATTTCTAATTACCTTCCTTTATTAACATGGAATGTAAATTCGGTAATATCTTTACAAGTAATGCTTTATGGAACTATTACAATATTGATAAATCTTCATTTGAGCATTATATTTATGATATGAAACCATAAAAAATTGAGTTACAGCATGTTAGATGCTTACCACCTGAAGCAAATAGCAAAAAGGTAGCAAATTGTAAATAAAGTGGTAATTTGAACTTCTATACTGTGATACAAAATGCCAAATCATTATAACAGTTAAAGTTCTGTACTTATTTCTGGTAAACCATAAAATAGAAGAAGCAAAAATTGGTTCAATTTATAATACAATGGCTTATTATGATAAATTTGTAAACTATAACAGGACAAAGTAAATAAAAAGCTTTTGAGAAATTAAATGGGCATTTTTACCGGCATAAAGGCCTTTAAAGTCTGTATTAACCTTGACCTTAGAGATGCTTATTAACCGTCTTTGATTTGATAAATTACAAAGTTTGGTAATTGAAAGCCAAAACTTAGTACTTGTCTTGATAAAGGTATGAGGAGAATAAACCTCAGACAGCTTTATTTCTAGGTATTAAGAAAAGTTTAAAGAATGTTGTTTGCTATATATTGCTATGTTTGAAAGGTTTGCTATAAGGAAATAAATAACAAGTGCATTTCATAAAATCTTCTGTTTTATATAGGACTTCAGTATCTGTGATTTAGTTGTAAATTGTTTCGTCTTTGTATTGAAATTGTATGGAAATTTGTCATGATTTATATTTATAGATGGGCATGAGTGGATTAGGAGATTTTGAGGCGGAGTTATATGGGGATATAGATAACGATGAAGACTTGGAGGCGGAGCTTATGGCATTACAAGGAAAACCACAGCCTAAAAAACGTAGACCTAAAGGTAAGTGGAAATTATCTAATTGTTTCAAAAGTTTGGTTTGGCAATTACATTTTTGTGGGATGGTAGTGGGAGGGGAAAGAAACATTTTATATATGTATACCTTTGACTTGAGATGCTTACCGGTTAAATGCTAGATCAGTAGTACATGTACTTTTAATAGAGTAACTTTTATTTAATACTTTAGAATTTCAATGTAATGAGAAATGCTACTTTTCCTTGATTAAAAAATGGTCAGATGTTCAGTTCTTGCTAAACAATATTGAATGTAGATTTTTTTTAAGACATGTAAATTAAAAGAATGTGCATGAACCAGCCAAATAAAATCTTGTTAACTAACATGTCTTGACAGTGACTTCATATATATACATGTTTACACGAGCAGCAATTCTTATCATTATGGAAACTATTTTTTAAAATTTTAAATAAAATTCGAAATGTTCATGTTTTTTTTTTAATTATGTTGTTGAGCTGTCTTCATATGTTGAGAGCAACATGCACACGAGTTAATACATCATAGCTCAGTGATATTATATGGTCATGTTATTGTTAATATATTTAGGTCCAGTAAATCCTATGGACTTTGATAGGATGATTGCAGACAGTATGAAAGATCTAGATGATGAAGATTTGTCGGATACAGAAGATCCTGAATTACTGGTACACTCATTATAACAGTTATTTTTTACCTATTTTGATATTTGAACTTTAATATTTTAAGGGAGCTTATCCTTACATTAGCATCACCTGCAGAATTCTAGGTCTGTTTTATATTGTCCTTGTATTGTAAACAAAAATTAAGGGAATTGTTTTTTCATTTTTGTCCTGTCTGTTTGTCTTTCTGCAGAGAAACTTAAACCTTGACCATAACATGTTCTTTTTATGAGCATTGGACCCTAACACAACATACCTTAGGTTACAAAAACTGTAATTTCTGGATGATCTCCCCTTAATATTTTTATAGAATGAATTACAAGACCTTGAAGGTGGTGGGTCAGATGAAGAAACAGATGAGCCAGCCAGTACACCGTCCTCCTCGGGTGGTGGTAGTGGGCTGGTAGCTGTGTTAGAGGACAGGCTTCAGAATTACAAGGATGCTTTAGATGCAGCTAAATCTTCTGGTGATACTTCCAAACAAAGACGTGCTGATAGAGGATTAAAGGTACAATCAAACCCGTGTTTTGTATAGACTCTTCAAATTTTTTTACAATGACAGGTTGCATACCAATGCGGATTACATTTTCTGTGGCAATATTGAGAAAAGTCTGACCTGTAATATGACATTACATAACTTATAAAATCTGTTGTTTTTTTTTCTCTGTGGCTTGTAATAGGATATCTGTTGAAAAGTCAGACAAACTGATTATGCCTACAGAGTCATATATAGTTTTATTGTAATACATTTTGAATAATCAGATTTCAATTACAGACTATCCAAGACTTGCTGAAGAAAGCAAGGCAGGGTAAACCAGTTGATGAAGGTGATATTCCTCCACAAGTTGCCATCTCAGCACAAAAACGTGCCCAGCCCCAACCACCAGCTCTGAACCCTGTACCTACGTTCCAGCCGACGATACAAGAAGATGCTCCTAAACCTGCACCAGCACCAAGGAAGGCAGCCCCAGCTCCCCCTGTCCAAACCCAGCAGCCCAGTACCTCAGGGCCATCTTCTCAAGGTAAGAAATGAAATAACTAATGTAACAGGAACTAAATATCATTTTGGTAACTAAGGTAGATGTAATAAGGTAAATCTAAAATTGTTATGCCACCGCAGCATCTGCGATGAGGTTGCATATAGCAATTCACCTGTGTACATTCATATGTATATAGTAAAAACTTAAAAAATCATCTTATCTGAATTGACAAATGCTAGAGCCTAGAGGTTAGATATTTTGCATGAAACTTTGTGTAGTGGACCTCTACATAAATTGTTCAAATTATAACCATGGGGTCAAAATTGGCCCTGCCCAGGGGTCATTGATTTTCACTATGTACATATAGTAAAAACTTAAAAATCTTCTTGTCTGAAGATGCAAGGCTTAGAGCTTTGATATTTGGTATATAATATCATCTAAAGGTCCTCTACCAAAGTTGTCCAGTTTTGCCCCTAGTGTAAAAATTAGCCCTGCCTCTGGGTTGATAGGTTTTACTTATATGTATATAGTAAAAACTTGAAAAATATTTTTCTCTGAATTTACAAAGGCTAGAGGTTACATTTCTTGCATGGAAAATTGCATAGTGGGCCTATGTAACAGTACAAAATTTATTTTTAATCACATGGTACACTTGAATTAACAGTAAGAATAACTCCAAGTGGCCAATTGGAAACTTATATTACAATAATAGTGGGAATGTAGGTAGGCTGCACAAACTAATTATACTGGCCTGACTTAAAGTACATTATGATAATATATTATGATATATTGTAGAAGAATCATCAGAGCACAGAATGCTGGTAGATAGACGTGACCAGTACAAGAAGGCCGCTCTGGCAGCCAAACATAGTGGTGACATGACTACAGCTAGAAACTTTGTCAAAATATCAAAAGTAAGGCTGCTTTATTTGAATACAATAAAACCTCTTTTAGAAAACACCTGAAAACTTCGGGAAGCTATGTTTATGTTTGTTCTATACATGTAGATAGTGATACACAAACAAATTGATTGAAATGTATATGTTTGCTATATATCAAAGAAAGTTTGGCTTGTACAGGTGTGTTGTAGAAGTGGTATATGAATGGAAAATAATAGTCCCTTTGCCTTTTGTATAGATATATAGATATTAATAATAATTATGTAAAGTTAAACAGATGTCTCTGAAATGATTCCCTATCTTACTGAGGATGTTTGTGGCACCTCGGTCTGTTCAGTGTACATGTATACTTGTTTTCTTCTCATTAAATAATTAAAGAAACAAAATGAGATTGTGATGTGATATCATAAAATTGTTTTTATATGTACATTAAATTGTTATTAGTCATTATATCTATGGAAGTGCAGGGTATAAAAGGGGAAAGGAGCCCATCTGTTACCATACTATTGGGTCAGTGTGGTGGTTTTGTTGTGGTGCTGTAGCAGCAGCCAATAAGTCCAAATCACAGTGCAGTGGAATAAATAAAATGAATATGCCTGCTAAACAACCCTTTGTTTGGGATCAATCATCCAACAGTTAAAAGTCCCTGCTTTTCCTGGGTGATTGTTGTGTGATATAACTATTGACTGGTACATATATTAAGAAGAAAATATGTTTCATGTTTATATTTCAGCAATTTGACAATGTAATACATGCTTTAGAGGCTGGTCAACCTGTTGATTTGTCACAGATGCCTCCACCCCCGGGTCAAGCTGGTAATGTTTCTATTTATTTATAAATAGAATATATTTTAAAAGAATTGTTACGTCTTTTAAGAAAGGGCTCTATGGTGATAAATCCCATAAAACCTGGGTGGCAAAATCTGTTTTTGACTTACATGTACTTTCCATTTTATTTGAAGCATTTCTTTTATTTACCTATCTGTATGGTATATGTAAAGTAAATTCTGGAAAACCCTTACTGGCTGTAGGACAACCTTGGCAATGCAGACAATTTTGCTGTCCCTGATTTAACTTTGAATAAATTGTAGCAATTTTTTTTTAATATGTTTGTTATAGTGCTATATAAAGTAGTTGGGTTTTTAGCTCACCTGTCACAAAGTGACAGGGTGAGCTTTTGTGATCGCTTTTTGTCCGGCGTCCGGTCGGCGTCCGTAAACTTTTGCTTTAAATGACATCTCCTCATAAACCACTGAGCCAATTTCATCCAAACTTCACAGGAATGTTCCTTTGGTGGTCACCTTTAAAAATTGTTCAAAGAATTTAATTCCATGCAGAACTCTGGTTGCCATGGCAACCGAAAGTAAAATCTTTAAATATCTTCTTTTAAACAACCCTAAGAGCTAGAGCTTAGATATTTGGCATGAAACATCTTCTAGTGAGTGTCTACCAAGTTTGTTCAAATAAAAGCCCTGGGGTCAAAATTGGCCCCGCCCCAGGGGGTCATTGATTTTCCCTATATGCATATAGTAAAAACTTAAAAAATCTTCTTTTAAAGAACCCAAAGAGCTAGAGCTAAGATATTTGGCATGAAACATCTTCTTGTGAGTGTCTACCAAGTTTGTTCAAATAAAAGCCCTGGGGTCAAAATTGGCCCCGCCCCAGGGGGTCATAGATTTTCCCTATATGCATATAGTAAAAACTTAAAAAATCTTCTTTTAAAGAACCCAAAGAGCTAGAGCTAAGATATTTGGCATGAAACATCTTCTTGTGAGTGTCTACCAAGTTTGTTCAAGTAAAAATACTGGGGTCAAAATTGGCCCCGCCCCAGGGGGTCATTGATTTTCCCTATATGCAGATAGTAAAAACTTAAAAATCTTCTTTTAAAGAACCCAAAGAGCTAGAGCTAAGATATTTAGTAAAAGCCCTGGGGTCAAAATTGGCCCCGCCCCAGGGGTCATTGATTTTCCTTATATGTGTATAGCAAAAACTTAAAAATCTTCTTTGAAAAAAACCCATATAGCTGAGTTTAGATATTAGGCATGAAACATCTTCTAATCAGTGTCTAAAAAGTTTGTTCAAATAAAAGTCCCGGGTCAAAATTGGCCCTGCCCCGGGGGTCATTGATTTTCCTTTTTTGTGTATAGCAAAAACTTAAAAATCTTCTTTGAAAAAACCCAAATAGCTAGAGTTTAGATATTAAGCATGAAACATCTTTTAGTAAATATCTACAAAGTTTGTTCAAATAAAAGCCCGGGGGTCAAAACTGGCCCTGCCCCAGGGGTGTCATTGTTTTTAACTATATGTGTATAGTAAAAACTTAAAAAATCTTCTTTTAAAAAACCCAATGAGCTAGAACTTAGATGTTTAGCATGAAACATCTTCTTATGGGTGTCTACCAAGTCTGTTCAAATAAACAAATCAAAGCTCTTGGGTAAAAATTGGCCCGGGGGGGGTGGCTATATGCAGGTGAGCAACCTCAGGGCCATCATGGCCCTCTTGTTTTGGTCATATAATTAAGGCCATATCTTATGTGATTGACATATTGGTGGTGGAGAGATATTGTTCTTTTAACAAATAGTATTGCTTGTTGCTGATATTAGTGATAATATGTGTAGAAAAAAAAATGACTGCTATGTTTGAAACAGGAACCAGGTAAAGACTTGAAAACATATTAAACCTAAATTATACATATACTGTCAAACAATTACTTTAAATTTCATTATCAAAAATGATAAAATGGTAAAATAAAAAATTTATGAACAAAAATGTATGAACAAAAATGAATGCCAACATTTAACTTATTAACTAGGTTCAACACCCAAGTCCCATGCAGAAGCTGTAGCAGGTCCGTCAGGGTCTCGGGTCCAGCATGAGTCTATGCAGCGTGGGAGAGATGAGCCGGCAGCACCGGCACATGTACCACCACTTCCTTCTGAAGAAGGTAAATGTTACTGTGTTTCTAGATAAGTGAAATAATCAACTGTTAAACATTTCAACAGAAGCTTAGTGTAAACATTAAGCCATGATCACTGGATCATGTCAAAAGTATCATAAGAAATGGTGCATGAATCTTCCTTGGTTGGTACTATGTCAGGTATACTGTATTCCTAGAAAAGATTTCGCGCATTTTAAGTTAGCGCTTTTCGCGGTAGGCATGATTAAGCGAATCTTTATAGCCGCAAATATGTCACTTATAACAAATCTTCGAACATTTCTAGCTTCAACCAAATAGTGCTATAGAAACGTGTAAAGAATTATGTAATTCAAAAGTTCATCTCCTTACTAAACCACCACATGTTTTAGCTTGTAATCCATATTTACATTTCAATATACATATAATGCACATAACAAAACAAAACAAAAACATGAAAAAATGTCAATTATTAGTAATTATCACCCTTATTCACGTTTCATATTTGCTAGTCACAGCCATTACAAAGCATTTTCAGTTTATGTACATTAAATGACTTGGATAGTAGTAATCCATTGTTTAAAGTACAATAGCTACATTGATAAATAGCTGTTTTGTTGTTATAATGAAAGCGATGTACAGTCAAATACTGTTAAAGTAGCACAACATAACCGTTATATAAATCCAGACGTCTGGACCGGGAAAAAAAAACCCGGGAAATTACCTGCTACCTTTGAGTAATACACTTGTTCTAGTTTATAGATTTTAAGGTCAATCATGAATTGCATGAATTGTTGAATTATTTATGTGACATTCATAAATGGAAAATCAAATACATGTACATGTAGGTTTATACCGTAGCCTTAAAAAGCTGTAATTTAGGCCGTAGCGACTTAATATTCGCGGAATTCGCAGTAACTACAATCCGCGAAAGTTTGTCTCCGCGAAAATGCCGACGTTGTGAAAAACGCGAAATATTGTATCCGCGAACATTTCTAGGAATACTGTAGTTCTGAATGGTACTATAATTTTCCTTGATTAGATGGTTTCAAAATCTTTTTTGCTTGGTACTACTATCTCAGGATATAGTTTGTAATGATACTAAAATCTTCTTTGTTGGCACTCATTAAAAGGATAATTCTAAGATATCTTAATATCACTGTAACGTAATGGTCAGAGAATTAAGTCAGTATGGTAATGGTTTGATCAGTGTATCAAATTAAAACAGTAATATGAAGTTGAGTCATACTACTCACTGTGACAAAACACACCTTTCCAAATTTGATTGATGTTATGGTGGTTTAGACAGTAAAGTTTGAACATACTCACTTATTGCCCAGTTTTAACCTTGTTTCTTATAGGATAAATTGTATTGTAATAGGGTAAATTGTATTGTAATAGGATAAATTGTATTGTAAAAGTGTAAATTGTATTGTAATAGGATAAATTGTATTGTAATATGATAAATTGTATTGTAATATGATAAATTGTATTGATAAATTGTATTGTAATAGGGTAAATTGTATTGTAATATGAAAATTTTTATTGTAACAGGATAAATTGTATTGTAATAGGATAAAATGTATTGTAATAGGATAAATTGTATTGTAATAGGATAAATGTATTGTAGTACGGTAAATTGTATTGTAATAGGGTATGGATAAATTGTATTGTAATAGGATAAATTTTATTGTAATAGGATAAATTGTATTGTAATAGGAAAAATTGTATTGTAATAGGAAAAATTGTATTGTTATAGGATAAATTGTATTGTAATATGATAAATTGTATTGTAATAGGGTAAATTGTATTGTAATAGGGTACGGATAAATTGTATTGTAATAGGATAAATTTTATTGTAACAGGATAAATTGTATTGTAATAGGATAAAATGTATTGTAATAGGATAAATTGTATTGTAATGGGATAAATGTATTGTAGTAGGGTAAATTGTATTGTAATAGGGTAAATTGTATTGTAATAGGATAAATTGTATTCACCAGAGATCTGCCAAGAATTTGAAAGAACTGGGCCCTGGGCCCACTTGGTCTGAAAATGATGGGCCATTTTTACCAAAGTATGGGCCTTGGGAAAATAAGTAAACATTGACCTAAATAACTGTTAAAAAGTTTGTAGTTAATTGAATTTCCCTAGTAATAAAACTTAAATCATATTTTATGACAAGTGGTTCGTTTATGATTCAGTACTTAACCAATAATTAAAATTTATGCCTACATGGTAACTTTCTAACTAATATTAATTGCAGGCAAAATATTTTTTAAATGGCTGCTCAAAAATTTGATATGCAATATTCTTCTTACTTCTGACGTCTAATACTGTGCATTATCCATTTAATTGTTCCTACTTTGCACCAAATGTCCCTTTGCCACTGTATATTGACGAATTTTATTGCCCCTTGTATGCCTCTGTGTAGACAGCATACATCAAAGACACTTGCCGACATGAAAAAAGTCATGCACAATGTTTCCCTGATTGGTTAATCACCCTGTCAAATATTCTGATGACGAAATAAACATCTTTTTTTTTACACTTCACAGCCAAAGCTTGTGTGAACTTGAGTGACCTTAGGGGGTAACCTGTCAGATTATACTGTAACTTACAGCATTTCTTAAAATAGCAACACTTTTTTTTCAGTTACCGATAATCATTTTAAATATTAAGTAGTTGTATAATTTGTTTGTTTGTTTTATTGTATTGTAATAGGATAAATTGTATTGTAATAGGATAAATTGTATTGTAATATGATAAATTGTATTGTAATAGGGTAAATTGTATTGTAATAGGATAAATTGTATTGTAATAGGATAAATTGTATTGTAATAGGATAAATTGTATTGTAATAGGATAAATTGTATTGTAAAAGGGTAAATTGTATTGTAATAGGATAAATTGTATTGTAACAGGATAAATTGTATTGTAAAAGGGTAAATTGTATTGTAATAGGATAAATTGTATTGTTATAGGATAAATTGTATTGTAATTGGGTAAATTGTATTGTAATAGGGTAAATTGTATTGTAATAGGGTATGGATAAATTGTATTGTAATAGGAAAAATTTTATTGTAACAGGATAAATTGTATTGTAATAGGATAAAATGTATTGTAATAGGATAAATTGTATTGTAATAGGATAAATTGTATTGTAATAGGATAAATTGTATTGTAATAGGGTAAATTGTATTGTAATAGGATAAATGTATTATAGTAGGGTAAATTGTATTGTAATAGGGTATGGATAAATTGTATTGTAATAGGATAAATTGTATTGTAATAGGATAAATTGTATTGTAATAGGAATTTTTTTATTGTAATAGGATAAATTAAAATGTTATAGGATAAATTGTATTGTAATAGGAAAAATTGTATTGTAATAGGATAAATTGTATTGTAATAGGAAAAATTGTATTGTAATAGGAAAAATTGTATTGTAATAGGATAAATTGTATTGTAATAGGATAAATTGTATTGTAATAAGATAAATTGTATTGTAATAGGAAAATTTTTATTGTACTAGGATAAATTGTAATGTTATAGGATAAATTGTATTGTAATAGGATAAATTGTATTGTAATAGGGTACATTTTATTGTAATAGGGTAAATTGTATTGTGATAGGATAAATTGTATTGTAAAAGGATAAATTGTATTGTAATAGGATAAATTGTATTGTAATAGGATAAATTGTATTGTAATAGGGTAAATTGTATTGTAATAGGGTGTGGATAAATTGTATTGTAATAGGATAAATTGTATTGTAATAGGATAAATTGTATTGTAATAGGGTAAATTGTATTGTAATAGAATAAATTGTATTGTAATAGGATAAATTGTATTGTAATAGGATAAATTGTATTGTAATAGGATAAATTGTATTGTAATAGGGTAAATTGTATTGTAATAGGGTGTGGATAAATTGTATTGTAATAGGAAAATTTTTATTGTAACAGGATAAATTGTATTGTAATAGGATAAAATGTATTGTAATAGAATAAATTGTATTGTAATGGGATAAATGTATTGTAGTAGGGTAAATTGTATTGTAATAGGGTATGGATAAATTGTATTGTAATAGGATAAATTGTATTGTAATAGGAAAATTTTTATTGTAATAGGATAAATTGTATTGTAATAGGGTACATTTTATTGTAATAGGGTAAACTGTATTGTAATAGGATAAATTGTATTGTAATAGGATAAATTGTATTGTAATAGGATAAATTGTATTTGTAATAGGATAAATTGTATTGTAATAGGATAAATTATATTGTAGATGAACGGAAGATATTTGATGCTCCCAGTGCCCCTAAGACAACAATGGATGCTCTGGTTCAAAGATTAGATAAATACAAGAATGCTGAACAACAGGCTAAAGAAGAGGGAAACAATAGTAAAATGAGGAGAATGGCCAGAATTGCTAAAGTAAGTTCATAACATGGATTATTACCAATCAAGGAAACGATGATTCTGATAACATTGTATATGCATTGCTTTTCTTGATAGCACAGTAAAATAAGATTTATTTGAATCTAATGGTATTTTCTTTAATAAATCTTAACAAATGAGAACAGTAATGAATTCTTTTGAGTGAGTGTACAGCTGTCAAACGTAAAGTGAGCTAGGCACTAGCCAAGTCCAATAAACATTTTGCAGCTGTGTACAAGTTCAATAGAATCAGTATTGTATTCAACAATGCATAATGACTTCTTTATTTAAGACAACCAAATCTTAAATTCTTGACCAAACTTTGTTCTTTGGAGCATGATATATATTTTTTGGAATCAGAAAATGAAACAAGACTTGACAAAATACAATATGAATTTTGTCAAATTGATATGGATTTTTGGACTTGGAAAATGAAATGGAGTACAAGATGTATTTAATATAGATTTTTTTTGCCCAAGAAATTAAACAAGTCTAAATTGATAAGATCTGATCCAATATTGATTTCTTGTGGAACATCATGAGGTACAACTGCTGAAAGTACATTAGTTACATTTATGAGGTTTCAATAAATCTTCATATTTCATACCCTTTATTGTTATCTCATAAACCTATATTATTTCAGCAATATCAAGATGCTATTAAAGCACATAAAGCAGGAAAACCAGTCGATTTTGATGAATTACCCACGCCTCCAGGTTTGGACATTTTATTAGAACAGTGTTTTTAGCTCACCTGTCACAAAGTGACAGGGTGAGCTTTTGTGATCGCTTTTCGTCCGGCCGTCCGTTGTCCATCGTCCGTAAACTTTTACTTTAAATGACATCTCCTCATAAACCACCCAGCCAATTTCATCCAACCTTCACAGGAATGTTCCTGGTGGTCACCTTTGAAAATTGTTCAAAGAATTTAATTCCATGCAGAACTCTGGTTGCCATGACAACCAAAAGAAAAAACTTTAAATATCTTCTTCTAAAAAACCCAAAGAGCTAGAGCTTAGATATTTGGCATGAAACATCTTCTAGTGAGTGTCTACCAAGTTTGTTCAAATAAAAGCCCTGGGGTCAAAATTGGCCCAGCCCCAGGGGGTCATTGATTTTCCCTATATGCATATAGTAAAAACTTAAAAAATCTTCTTTTAAAGAACCCAATAAGCTAGAGCTTAGATATTTAGCATGAAACATCTTCTGATGGGTGTCTACCAAGTTTGTTCAAATAAATGCCCAGGGGTCAAAATTGGCCCCGCCCCAGGGGTCATTGATTTCTCTTATATGTGTATAGCAAAAACTTAAAAAATCTTCTTTGAAAAAAAAAACAAATAGCTAGAGTTTAGATACTAAGCATGAAACATCTTCTAGTGAGTGTCTACCAAGTTTGTTCAAATAAAAGCCCTGGGGTCAAAATTGGCCCCGCCCCGGGGGTCATTCATTTTCCTTATATGTGTATAACAAAAACTTAAAAAATCTTCTTTGAAAAAACTCAAATAGCTAGAGTTTAGATATTAAGCACGAAGCATCTTCTAGTGAGTGTCTACAAAGTTTGTTCAAATAAAAGCCCTGGGGTCAAAATTGGCCCCGCCCCGGGGGACATTGATTTTCTTAAAATGTGTATAGCAAAAACTTAAAAATCTTCTTTGAAAAAACCCGAATAGCTAGTGTTTAGATATTAAGCAGGAAACATTTTCTAGTAAGTGTCTACAAAGATTGTTCAAATAAAAGCCCTTGGGTCAAAACTGGCCCTGCCCCAGGTGTGTCACTGTTTTTAACTAAATGTGTAAAGAAATAACTTGACCAGCTAGACCTTAGATGTTTAGCATGAAACATCTTCTAATGGGTGTCTACCAACTTTGTTCAAATAAAAGCCCTGGAGTTTAAACTGGCCCCGCTTCAGGGGCCTATATACAGGTGAGCAACTTCAGGGCCATCATGGCCCTCTTGTTTGTTTAATTATTTTATTCATTATTCATTTTCTAAATCAATGATGTTAAGTTTTTTCTGTGTATAAAACAAGAGAGTGCAGATGTGAATAAGTAAAGTAAAAAAAAATTCTGTACAATGGCAATCACATCACATGCATTTAAGACAGTTCTTGTTTCATGAAACATTTTCATAGAGGTAAATTTCAAGATACGATTAGAATATAAATGCACATCAGATCATTCCTGAGATATTTCTTTTACATTTTACTATATTAAGAGTTTTTCTCTTTTTTCTTTCTATGCAGATAAACTGATATGAAATGATAGGAATTGTTAGTGGGACATAACAGCCTCCGTGGTCGAGGGGTTAAAGTCGATGACTTCTAATCCAGTTACCTCTCTGGCGTGGGTTCGATCCGCCGGAGATGCTTTGGTAGTTTAGCACGGAGGAAGGTAGTCTAGTACTGGTGTAACTCTCCAGGAACAATGGTTAGAAAACTACCCGCCTATATGACTGAAATACTGTTGGGAAAAAGGCGTAAAAAGAAACAAACAGTGGGACATGAATCCTGCCAAGGATTTTGCATTATTTTGTGTGAAGAAGCTATCAAACCAGCTGATGGAAGGTTGGTGGTTCTACTCAGGCCTTCTTCACACGTAAAGCTGGAAAGTGGCCGTATAACCTTTACAATGTTGATACAGAATAATAATATGTTTTATGGTGTATTGGTATGAGTATAGTTTAGAACTTCTATTTTAGGGTATGCTCCAATTCCTACTGGTCCGGCAGGAGCTCCAGCTCAGCACCCCAAGCCAGCCCCTTCTCCCAGCTCCAGCAACAATTCATTACAGGCTCCTGCAGGCAGGGGTCAACAAGGGTCACCTCAGGCAGGTCAAAGGTCACCACAGCCACAGAGGTCACCACAGCCACAAAGGTCACCACAGCCACAGGCTGCAGCTCATAGTGATGTTTCACCTGGGAAACATGCCCATGGTAGTCAGAAAGGTAATCTGTCATGGGAAAAAAGTCAAAATCTTTTTTACAACAAATAGCTAAAGAACATTATATCATTTTATCAAAAAATATATAACTCATATATAAAAACTTTCACATCTATAACTGAAGTTTGAAAACAATAAACAATCAAATCATGGACATTTATTAATATTTTGCTTTGTAAATGTAAGCTTAATCTATTTAACAATGTACATGATTCAAAGTACATGTATTACTGAAGATTAAATTTGTTTCACATGAGAAAAAACACCTTACACATATCTGTACCATTTAGATGTATTTACAATGTTTAAAATTCATAAAGAAATACTGTTATTGTGTGATACAGTCTCTCAGAAGCAAAGGTGTAAGTATTGTACACGTGTCATATTTCTCTTTCTTTATGTTGTGTGTCAGTCGTCACATGTGTTAATGTTTTACATGTTTGCATTTTATTTTGTGTATTGTGCAAATACAGGATATGTATTCAGATACAGAAAAACTTATGTAACAGAATAATCAGATTTATTAAAATATGATGGAACAAGTACTTGTAAATGTAGAGGAGGCCTTTTTGTTTGAGTGAAGCACCTATCAACCCACAGATCATAGGTTCGAGCCCAACTGTGGTTGTAGGATCATAGGTTTGTGCCAAACTGGGGCTACAACCACATTTCCTTATGTGACACCAGTACTGGTGTTAGTTCTAGGAAGTGGCGTGGATGGTGTATCTGATTAGCTTTAAGCTTTTCTCACAATTATGCTAAATCAAATATATTTAAACTAATTATCTGTATTATTCTACCCATACATTTTGCCGTGTAGAAACTTTCTTATCTATTGATTTCTGTGTATCTTGTGTTAAAATTTACAAACTATGCAACTTACCAACCATGCAACTTCTATGTAAGGGAAATAAGTAGTTAATGAAGGTGATGTAAAAGGTTTTATTTTGAAATGTTGCAATGTTGTACAGCATTTCTTGGACAGGGACACTCTGGCTTTATTTTTTCATTTGAAAGTCATAATTGAAGTGTGTGTTTAACTTCATCACAAACCATATGACATTATCATAGCTAGAAAAGAATTAATAGCAACTCATAGTATTTTAACACATATCTTGTTGAATTCTTGGTATGGACATTTAGGGATTTCAGTTTGAAAATATTGAAATTTATCAGTAGAGACTACATATGGTCAAGCTGGCCTGGCTTGAAATTCAGATGCCAAAGTACAGATGTTCAGGTTGGCCATGCTTGGAAATGGGCAGCCAAAAGTTCAGACTGTACAGATATATTCAGGCTGGCCTGACTTGAAATCGAGCAGCCAGTGTATAGCTGTTAAAGCTGGCCTGGCCTGAAATTAGGCAGCCAGTGTATAGCTGTTAAAGTTGGCCTGGCCTGAAATTGGGCAGCCAGTGTATAGCTGTTAAAGCTGGCCTGGCCTGAAATTGGGCAGCCAAAGTACATACTGTACAGATCTTAAGACTGGCCTGGCTTGAATTGATCAGTCAACAGTTAATACTGCACACATGCTCAATCTTCTCCTGTACAGATGTTTAGGTGGGCCTGGCCTAAAATTGATCAGTCAATAGTATAGACTTGCACATATTTTTATGCTAGCCTGGTTTATAATCTTATTGTATAAGTCTGTAATTATAGCCTCACAGGCTTTTAAGTGCTTGGAGTGACTTAAATGCTCTTTTCAACTATGCAATTAACTTACACATGATGCAAAAAAGTATCTCATTAACAGCATAAGTTCAGTTTTCACATTTTCTTTTATTTCTTTCATCTTCTTGACAATCTGATTTTATCTGGAACTACATCCTAGAGGTTGAATATAATGTGAAATACCTAGCAAGAATATGCAATTTGATATTCCAGTAGGGATACTTTATGTAAATTAATGGAACAGCCTAAACTTTAAAATTGATGAATTATATTATTATTTCTGGGTAATAATACAACTGCCTTAATGTAATCAAATAAAATAAATGTACTCTTTCATCAAAAATAACAGAATTTTTTTTCTCTCTTTTTTTGAAAAGCCAGTAAAATATTTTGAGTTATTAAACCCATGTAATACTTGTGTTTCAAACTCTTTTTCATTTACCAAACATCTGAAACATCTGAGTTATTCACGTCAAAAAATATCCTGGCCAGTAATTTTTCAGAACTTTATTAAACACCAATAAAACTTGTATTTTACAATGATTTCAGTTATGAAGCGTACAATGTCACTGAGAGCTGATCAGCAGACGCAGTTTTTGAAGGAGAGGATGCAGGAATACAAAATGGCCGCCATTAATGCAAAGAAGAACAATGATATAGCATTAGCCAAACAATATCTTAGAATGGCAAAGGTGTGTTATTACAACTATTTCATATTCTTATGTTATTTTTTCTCAAAGATAGTGCTTTTAACCAGCATTTTAGCAACAGGCCATGGTTTGTCAAATTCAGGCGTTTTTAGTGGTTTGATTTTATAAGTTGACACACTGAATATTGACAGTTTATTTGTATGAACTGTCAATTTGATAAGTTTACACTTCGTGAATAATTAATCATGTGATAAGTTAAGAATGGTGGACTTATTTAAAACTGTTATCTGTTGTTCTGTATGATTGTCACTGAATTAAAAACATTGTGCATTGAATCCTGTAGTAATGGAATTAAATATTGAAACTCTTACCATACAATCTTGTAAGCTTTTTGTATTCAAATTGCTCAGGACATGGTCTTATAACATGCTGTAACACCTTTAGCCTGCTGGTACCAAAAGTTGTCTGACAGTATAGAGCCAGGCCAGCATGCAACACTGTAGTCTGGCCTGGCTATATAATGTTTGATACCTCAATTTTTGGATTTTGACTTTTGAAAACACTGAAATGTTGCACGAGTGTTTGGAATTCAAAGCAGGGTTCAAATCCTTTTCACAAATTCAGAAGGTCAATTGTTAAGAATAATAAATGCATATTTTTTTATTTTTCAGGGTTTTGAACCTATGATTGATGCCTCAGAGAGTGGCCTACCAGTAGATCTTACACAGGTTGGTGATATCTTATTTATTTTATTCAGGAATGAGTCAGAATTCATGTCATTATTATTTGTTTAAAATATTTTATGTGAAAAAAAATTAAACAAATTGCTGTTGCAATTATTGCACCTTTATACTTAAGTGCACAGACACTTGGGGTGGGGAGCTCAAAACGCCTTTAAAATCCAAATAAAATGCATATTTGTCAATCCCAGCACATGCACTGATCATATAAAAAAACTGAATATAATACTTATTTATAGACGTTGAAATATGAAATTTTTTCAAAACGGCTTTCAGCTCTACACCCCATGTGTCTGTGCTTAAGTGTAGAGTACTTAACTGATTACTCACTTTGCCCTTTATGCAAGTTTCACCTCAATAAGGTAATACTGAACTGTTGCAAGAAGGTATTGCAGACTTACAAGTGAATTGAACTGTGATTCAAAATATGGACTTAACATTCACTTTAATAAGCTACAAGGTCCCTTGCATTGTTTTCTCTCCGTTTTTAGCTTGATTTTATATAAATATATTTAGTGAGACATTTTATTAACAACTGGGTGTCAGTTTTTTTGTGTCCATGTCAGCAAGGTACCTTGAAAGTTATGTTGTTTTTGTTAACCACTATATATCATATACTGAACCCTTTGAAATGTTGCTTTGAAACTTAGAACACTTGTTCATGACTTTCACGACCATCTCCAGGCAAGAGTACATATCTATGCCATTGATTTTTAGCTCGACTATTCGATAAGAATAAGTAGAGCTATTGCAGTCACCCGAGCGTCGGCGTCGGCGTAACCACTTTTGTTAAAGTTTTTGTAATAGTTCAAATATTTTCAAAGTCCATAGACATATGGCTTTGAAACTTTGCACACTTGTTCACCATCATGACCCCAACCTGTAGACAGGAGGAGGTAACTCTATCAAGCATTTTGACAGAATTATGCCCCTTTTTCGACTTAGAATTTACGTTAAAGTTTTTGTAATAGTTCAAATATTTTCAAAGTCCATTGACATATGGCTTTGAAACTTTGCACACTTGTTCACCATCATGACCCCAACCTGGAAACAGGTGGAGGTAACTCTATCAAGCATTTTGACAGAATTATGCCCCTTTTTTCGACTTAGAATTTACGTTAAAGTTTTTGTAATAGTTCAAATATTTTCAAAGTCCATTGACATATGGCTTTGAAACTTTGCACACTTGTTCACCATCATGACCCCAACCTGTAGACAGGAGGAGGTAACTCTATCAAGCATTTTGACAGAATAATGCCCCTTTTTCGACTTAGAATTTACGTTAAAGTTTTTGTAATAGTTCAAATATTTTCAAAGTCCATTGACATCATGGCTTTGAAACTTTGCACACTTGTTCAACATCATGACCCCAACCTGTAAACAGGAGGAGGTAACTCTATCAAGCATTTTGACAGAATTATGCCCCTTTTTCGACTTAGAAATTACGTTAAAGTTTTTGTAATAGTTCAAATATTTTCAAAGTCCATAGACATATGGCTTTGAAACTTTGCACACTTGTTCACCATCATGACCCCAACCTGGAAACAGGTGGAGGTAACTCTATCAAGCATTTTGACAGAATTATGCCCCTTTTTCGACTTAGAATTTACGTTAAAGTTTTTGTAATAGTTCAAATATTTTCAAAGTCCATTGACATATGGCTTTGAAACTTTGCACACTTGTTCACCATCATGATCCCAACCTGTAAACAGGTGGAGGTAACTCTATCAAGCATTTTGACAGAATTATGCCCCTTTTTCGACTTAGAATTTACGTTAAAGTTTTTGTAATAGTTCAAATATTTTCAAAGTCCATTGACATATGGCTTTGAAACTTTGCACACTTGTTCACCAACATGACCCCAACCTGTAGAGAGGAGGAGGTAACTCTATCAAGCTTTTTTTTTACTATCAAGCACTAAGAATAGTCGAGCGTTGCTGTCCTACCGACAGCTCTTGTAACATTTACTTACCCCTTTTTGTATTTGCAAGTTTTCATGTTTATTTTTTACATACTGTTGAACCTATTTACTGGCAAGGTTTCAAAGACTTGTTTTTGCTACACTATCAGATATTGGATATTAAAGCTCTTGTTAAAAAGAGAATTTTATTTTCTTGGTCCTACTGAATTTATATATAGAACAGTACTGTTCACTAAATGGTAAAGTTAAGCAGCCAATACTTAGCAATGTGGTTACCATGTTCTGATTACATGGACAAGTTGTTTTTGTTGCTACATTTGACCCATAACCTCATGAATTTCTTACTTGTCCAGCTTCTATTTATCATCAATTTTTGGGGATATCAAGATGAAAGTTTGAAGTTAGTTAGGTAACAGTATAGAGCTTGGATGGTTACACTACATGGATGTGGATGGTGGTCTAGCCCTCTACTGGTGACAAAGGCTAATCTCATTTGGTTCCAGCAGGTTACAAAAAATAAAAAAGATATTTATTTTAGGTACCACCATCACTGGATTCTGATGAAGACAATCCAAGTTTTGTAATGGTGTCTAAAGAGGAATGTGAGCTGTCTGGTGACAGGGAAGAAGTGTTTGAGAAACTACAACAAGACCTTATAGCACAAATTAGAGTGAGTATACTTTAAAATTGATCAAACCACAAGATCTTGATATTTCACCTGTGTGAATATGACTCCAATATTTAACAATCATTGGATTTCCTTGACTGACCACTTAAAAAAAAGAAGTTTTACCCTATTAAAAAGGAGGCCACATTTAGTAAAGTTCCCAAGCATTTATGGATGCTCAGAAAATATCTTTATAACCATGGACCCTTGTCACTTTCTACATGTCACTGTGTGAATTAAAACATAACCTGAAAAGACATGCTAGAAAAAATAGCTGGACAAATAATTAGTAGAGATTTCAATTTAGCATTGTAACATCAACCAGTATTACTTCAGTGCATTGTAACATGGTAAAGTTTGTATAAGAGTTTTTGTAAGAGAGTTAATACTTGGATCTGTTACAACTAACCACTGGACAAAAGTTTAATTTTGACTTATTGAAATATAACCTGAACATTTAAATGACTTGATTTTCAACTTCAAATTTTCAATATTTAAGAAATTTACAAATATATAACTTTGTTTGTTATTTATTGACAGATTTTAGATAGGGTCATTCCTATTTGATGAACACAGCTTGTTTTCTTTTGTTTGCTTTTATTTTGCAGTAGCTGTATGCAATATTGTTTTGTGAAAATCACTTCTTTTTCCCATTTCAGACATGTACAGCAAATAATACACATTTTTCAAAGTTAGGAGATATTATGAGTGCTAACAAGTAAGTGTTTTTAAACTTAAACTGATCAATTAGCACATGTAAGCTAGCTGATGTCTCTTTGTTTGATTACTGAAACTGTTTTACACTGCTTGAAATTGTTTTTGAGTTTTCATGTATTCCAGTTTTCACGAAGCAAACATTTTTAGCTCACCTGAACATGCTCAGGTTGAGCTTTTAGGATCGATGATTGTCCGTCGTCCGTCCGTCCATCGTCCGTTCACATTTAGTTGTTAACACTCTAGCGGTCGCATTTTTGCCTCAATCATCATCAAACTTGGTCAGGATGCTTATCTAGTTGATAGCTCAGATGAGTTCGAACATGGGTCATCTCAGATGAGAAACTAGGTCACAAGAGCTTAAAATAGAAAAACCTTGTTAACACTCTAGAGGTCACAATTTTGCCTCAATCATCATCAAACTTGGTCAGGATGTTTGTCTAGGTGATAGCTCAGATGAGTTCGAACATGGGTCATCTCGGATGAAAATGTAGGTCTCCTGAGCTAAAAATAGAAAAACCTTGTGAACACTCTAGCTGTCACATTTTTGCATCAATCATCATCAAACTTGGTCAGGATGCTTATCTAGTTGATAGCTCAGATGAGATTTCCAACATGGGTCATCTCGATGAAAAAGTAGGTCACCAGAGCTAAAAATAGAAAAACCTTGTTAACACTCTAGCGGTCAAATTTTTGCATCAATCATCATCAAACTTGGTCAAGATGCTTGTCTAGGTGATAGCTCGGATGAGTTCGAACATGGGTCATCTCAGATGAAAAAGTAGGTCACCAGAGCTAAAAATTGAAAAATCTTGTTAACACTCTAGCGGTCACATTTTTGCATCAGTCATCATCAAACTTGGTCAAGATGCTTGTCGAGGTAAAAGCTCGGATGAGTTCGAACATGGGTCATCTCGGATGAAAAACTAGGTCACCGGAGCTAAAAATAGAAAAACCATGTTAACACTTTATAGGTCACAATTTTGCCTCAATCATCATCAAACTTGGTCAGGATGTTTGTCTAGGTGATAGCTCGGATGAGTTCGAACATGGGTCATCTCGGATGAAAAAGTAGGTCACCGGAGCTAAAAATAGAAAAACCTTGTTAACACTCTAGCTGTCACATTTTTGCATGAATCATCATCAAACTTGATCAAGATGCTTGTCTAGGTGATAGCTCGGATGAGTTCGAACATGGGTCATCTCAGATGAAAAACTAGGTATCGGAACTAAAAATAGAAAAACCTTGTTAACACTCTAGTGGTCACAATTTTGACTCAATTGTCATCAAATTTGGTCAGGAAACTTGTCTTGGTCATTGCTGGGAATAAATCAAACATGGGTCATCTCGGATGAAAAACTAGGTCACAGGAGCTAAAAATAGAAAAATCTTATTAACACTCTAGTGGCTACTGTTGTGATCCAAATATTCTGTTAATTGGTCTGAAAGTTTGTTTTGATGATTTCTAAGTCAAGATTGAACATGGGTCATCTTGGATGAAAAACTAGGTCACACCGCCCAAATATGGAAAAACCTTGTGAACATTCTAGTGGTCACATTTTCGACTCAATTATCATCAAACTTGGTCAGGATGCTTGTCTAGGTAATTGCTTGGATGAGTTCGAAATCACATGTGAAACTAGGTCACCGGAGCTAAAAATAGAAAAATCTTGTTAACACTTGTTAGTTGCTACTGTTTTGATCCAATTATCCTGGAAATTGGGTCTGAAAGTTTCTTTTGATGATTTCTAGGTCAAGTTTGAATATGTGTCACCTGGGTAAAAAACTAGGTCGCACTGCTCAAATATGGATAATCCTTGTTAACACTGTAGTGGTCATATTTTTGACTCACCTGTCATGAGACTTGGTCAGAATGCTTGTCTAGGTAATTGTTTGGATGAGTTTGATAAGTCAGGTGAGCGATCTAGGGCCATCATGGCCCTCTTGTCTTAATTTGTGATGTATTTATAAATGTTACTCCCTGAAAAAAAAACATAATTATAGGCAACATGTTCCAAAAGATTATATGTCAATCTATAATGATTTTTGGAGAACAGTACAAGCGTTTGTATATTTTTGTTTTCCAGTTTATGAGAGTGCATTCAGATATGGTTAATGGGGGATATCATGTATTTATTACATGCTTTTCGGTGATTTATAGAAATTTATTAGTGATATAAAAAAAACTGATAAGTTCATTGTTTTAAACAGTGAAACTATCAATTTGATTATTTCACTGTTTTCAATTTAAGCCTCTTACGTTGTTTCAGTGAAATACCAGCGTGCACAGTACATCAAACCAACTTAATGACGTGACGTCGTAAATGACGTCACATTGTATTATTATTTGGCGCTCTTTTCATTTAGTATTAGGTTAAATGTCTTTTTAAAACGTTTCTTTGCAAAGAAAATTTGTTTAGTTTAGTGTAAGATCAAAATATATTTCATCTTGTGAACACCAAAAGTTCATATTCCACTCTCTTGAAATATACCTTTTGGTGCTCACTTGGTGAAATATATAATCCGATCTTACACTGAACTAAACAAATATCCTCTATATCATATAACCTAATAACTCTTAACCCAAGGTTTATACTACATGTAGTGGGTTTCTTCAAATATATTAATCACATAATTTAATTCTCACAATACCAAGATGGATACTTCAAAATCCAAAGTGGATCTATTTCACCAATGAAGCTGTCTCTTGTAAAGAATGGTGCAAATAACTCACTGAGTAAATCATGTTGTGCACACTTTGCAAATTCATTTGAAATTTATATGTAACTACCTTGATGATTTCAGGTTCCAAAAAATGGAAAGTGGTTTACGGAAAGATTTAGATGCTTTAAAGAATGCTTTACGGCATAAAGATCCTGTTCCAAAATTTCATTATGAAAATAGAACATTTTCAATGGTGCAGTAAGTATTTACACTTAATTGTATTTACACTAAATTATATTTACAGTATGTTGTATTTACTAAATTATTGAGTTAATTTCAGGACCTACAATAATCATTGCCTATATTTTTTGAGCATTAAGTTTAATAAACTTTAACCTGCTAAGTGTTTTAAATTATTTTTACAATCAATCGATTTACAAGACTGATGAACAGTTTTACGATTTACCAAAGTTAAAGTGTTAAGATTCATTTGAAATACTGCAATCCTATTGCACAAAAAATAATTTCAAACACTAAATGAAGTTCAGACCTAAGGTTTCTTTGAATACTTGACTTTTGACATTTACAAAGTTATTTTCATTAGTGTTAAGAAATTTATTTCTAACCTTATATGCCAATAAAGCAAGATACATTGGATTGATATACCAAAAGTAGAAAAAAAAATAAAGAAAAGATAACAATGTTATCATCTTTATTTAGCATTGTTGTCATATCAATATTTGTGTATGAATGTTTCTTTGAACTAATTTCTGAACAAGTTCTATGTATATGTGTTATTATTACCCCTCACTTTTTTCGTAATGTTAATTTCCCATAGGCCTCTGGGAGTTATTCTTACTGTTAATGCAAGTGTACCACTTGACTACGAACTTTTGTACTGTTACATAGGTAACAGTATTTTTTAACAGTATAAAATCTGGTCACGTGGTCTATTTTCTAAATAAAATGAAATAAAATGGCCGCCATTTTTCTCTCGATTCATTCTTATTTTCGACGATAGGGCATCGCCGAAGAAACTATTATTCTGATAAAATTTAGTTCTTTGCACCCTAGAGTCCCTTTCGCGTATTAAATATCTTTTTGTTGAATAGTCAACAGGAAACATCCGTTTTCAACGGAAGTAACTGTAATGTAAATAATTTTGTCAAACTGGAACATGCAGACAAAGCATGCAACAAAGGATAATTTAACAATTTTAACCAGTGAAACGTTACAGATAGAGTTGGTGGACAGACATCTGTAGGATATCATCGTTATTTTCTAAATGCACTTTGTCAAAAACCATGCGAAGAATATTCTGGATGCAGAAGGATCAGATTTCACAGATCATAACCTTATAAATGGGTTAGTGTTTTGTTTTCTGAATAAAACACAGCTTATTTTATGTTTATGACTGGTAGATATCATCACTTGCCTAAAGAATAAAAGAAAAACAGCTTCTCAAGTAGGCCTACAGTGCACTTAAAACTTGCAACGTTTACAGTTTAGTTATTGCTTCTCTTGGCTTATTTTTGTTACAGTTAGATTTAGTTGACAAATTTAGATCATCACAGTATTTGTTCGGGGTAATAAAATAAATAACACATGGGTTTGTGGGTAACAGTAAAAATATCATCCCTACGCCTCGGGTAACAGTATTTTCCTCAGGATGATATTTTTACTGTTACCCACAAACCCATGTGTTATTTATATACTGTTACACCCTGTGAGCATACCAGATGGATGTAGTTTTGGTACTAACTACAATGTACACATGTTTCAGATGTAATACAGATTTAGGAGACAATGATTTAGAGATGACAGTGGTACGTGGTGTGCAATATAACCCTCCATCAGGATATTCGGAGAAAGATCTAGACACTTATATCAAATATGAATTCCCTTTTCCAACAGTATGTATTAGTGTTTTATTTTTACACATACTCTATGGAAGCTATATATCCTGTGTTTTGTCTTTAAGTCACACCTACACTGAAAAGTGATATGGCAACTTGCCAGTTTTACTGGGGGAGAACGCCTTAGGTGCACTCTATGCATTATTTCAGAGTAGAACCATTTATATTCTTGTTAACTTGTTGAAAAGTTTCTTGGCATGCAAGAGTGAAAAGTTCCTGGTGGGATTTTAAACCCACTAGGGTAAGGACTAAGGAGCAGTTGATAAGGCAACAACCTTAGCCGTCCTGCCACTGATGTCCCAGCTTTAAATAAGATTGTCTCCTGTACTACATTTACATATTATTGGAGAACAGTATGTTTAATGACAGAGATTTATACTTTAGCTATAAAACATTCAGGAATGTGCTTGTAAAAACAACACTTGGGTAAGACATTAGATTTTAGATTTGTATTTGAGGAAATAACAACTTTACCGATTTAAATTCAGTGGTCCTCTAAATATTGTTATATGCGGAGTTTGCTGTTACAGGTTCATAAAAATAAAACAATGCTTTCTGTATTGGAATAAATGACAAGTTAAAATGTATTTTCAGGATGACCCACAATGTGGACAAACAGAAACAGTTAAAAGTTCATTTAATCCAGGTATGTACTTCATTCAGTTAAATTATGTACACCTACTGATCAATGTTAGTTGTCCAACTTTACAGAAAAGAGATAGGTCAATCTAAAGAAAAAGATAATTGCAATAGTCAATATCAGATTCTTTTATGATCATGGATTCACAAGCTTGATTTTAGCTCACCTGAACACAAAATTTTGTGATGGTAGTTTGTCTTCGTTTTATCCACAATTCTTTTTTAACAACAGCTCCTAAATATAGAAAAGATTATTCAGTATTTGATGATTTAAAATTTTTTAATTGTAATAATAAGTTAAAATGAATTTGTTTATTTTAAATACATTTGTTTAATAAAGAGGTTACAAATAAAGATGGTTAGGAAACTACCTGCCTATATGACTGAAATACTGATGGAAGAGGCGTACAATCAAACAAACAAACAAAACAAATAAAGATGTGATTTATTTACAAATGATTTGATCACAATGTTTCTCAAGGACACATTTGTATCTCAACTCATTATTGAATTGATAATTGAAATTGAATTTTGATTCTATTTTGTAATTACAGAATATCAAGAACCTGTCAAGTTCAATATGAACAGGAAATCTAGAGCTCTGGTTCGTGTCATAGAAAGGAAGACTATAAAATTAGAAGTGTTTTATAAAAGGTATGCTTAGAGTGTTTTTATTTGTCTGCCTGCTTAGCTGAATAGAGTGAGCATCAGATTTGTAATCTAGCAGTTGTTGGTTCGATTCCCAAGCAAGGTGAAAATGGATCTCGTTCATGGAGTCTTACAGTCATTTGTCTCTCAATTCTGATTAAGTAATCATTTGTAATTAGTAGTCCATCACTTGGGAAGAAATTCGTAATTACTGGTTAGAAATCTAGGAAAGCAGGTCATGGATTGGCCTCTTAAATATGACCAAAAGTGAGTCAAAATATGCCTTAAAAAACAGAAAAACTTACAAACTTAGTGTATATACTGTAATTTTAACATTTGCTCTAGAAATAATGCAACATTTTCCTGCCAGGAACTGTTAATTCTTCATGTGAGGAAGCTGACTAGCTTGCTACAGATAGTTGTTTGTTCTACTCAGATGCCCACATATGCCTGAAATAATACATTGATGGGCATATAAGGTCTTGCTCTACCAGATAAGCTTGAAAATGGCCATAAAGCCTTCACAGTGTTTTAAATACTTACAAAAAGGAGAAAACAAATGGTGAACTTGTTGTTTTTTTAATTTATTTTTCATTTTATGTGGAACTGATAATTAATTTTTATCAAGAATATAAATCTTTTTTATTTGTTTTTATTGCCATGAAATTTGACATACAAGTGCATTTATTATATGTTTATTTCATTACAGAGGGTTTTTAAAGAGTGATAAGCCATTAGGGACAGTGAATGTAAAATTATTACCTCTAGAAACACAGTGTACAGTACATGATAGTTATGATGTAAGTTTATACATTAAGTATTTCAATTTTTATACTCCCGCACAACAAAGTTGTAAGGGGGGTATACTGGAATCAGCTTGTCCGTCCGTCCGTCCGTCCGGCTGTCCTTTCGTCCGGCTGTCCGGCCGTCCGGCGGTTTTTTCTTGTCCGCCCAATAACTTAAGATTCCTTTGACCCTTAGTCTTCATATTTGGCATTGAGGTTAGTCATGATTAGTAGATGACCCCTATTGACTTTGAGGTCACCAGGTCAAAGGTCAAGGTCACAGGGGCCTTGACTTCAAAAAGCTTGTCCGCCCAATAACTTAAGATTCCTTTGACCTACAGTCGTCATATTTGGCATGGAGGTTAGTCATGATTAGTAGATGACCCCTATTGATTTTGAGGTCACCAGGTCAAAGGTCAAGGTCACAGGGGCCTTGACTTCAAAAAGCTTGTCCGCCCAATAACTTAAGATTCCTTTGACCCACAGTCTTCATATTTGGCATGGAGGTAAGTCGTGATTAGTAGATGACCCCTTTTGATTTTGAGGTCACCAGGTCAAAGGTCAAGGTCACAGGGGCCTTGACTTCAAAAAGCTTGTCCGCCCAAAAACTTAAGATTCCTTGGACCCATAGTCTTCATATTTGGCATTGAGGTTAGTCATGATTAGTAGATGACCCCTATTGACTTTGAGGTCACCAGGTCAAAGGTCAAGGTCACAGGGGCCTTGACTTCAAAAAGCTTGTCCAACCAATAACTTAAGATTCCTTTGACCCACAGTCTTCACATTTGGCATGGAAGCTAGTCATGATAAGTAGATGACCCATATTGACTTTGAGGTCACCAGGTCAAAGGTCAAGGTCACAGGGGCCTTGACTTATAAAAGCTTGTCAGCCCAATAACTTAAGATTCCTTTGATCCACAGTCTTCATATTTGGCATGGAGCTTAGTCATGATTAGTAGATGACCCCTATTGACTTTGAGGTCTCCAGGTCAAAGGTCAAGGTCACAGGGGCCTTGACTTCAAAAAGCTTGTCCGCCCTATATCTTAAGATTCCTTTGACCCAAAGTCTTCATATTTGGCATGGAGGTTAGTCATGATTAGTAGATGACCCCTATTGATTTTGAGGTCACCAGGTCAAAGGTCAAGGTCACAGGGGCCTTGACTTCAAAAAGCTTGTCCGCCCAATAACTTTAGATTCCTATGACCCACAGTCTTCATATTTGGAATGGAGGTTAGTCATGATTAGTAGATGACCCCTTTTGATTTTGAGGTCACTGGATCAAAGGTCAAGGTCATAGGGACTTTGACTTCAAAAAGTTTGTCCACCCATTAACTTAAGATTCCTTTAACCCACAGTCTTCATATTTGGCATGGATGTTGATCATGACTATAAGGCAGGGCTTTTTTTCACAAGTTTGGGAAGCAGCCCAGCCCTTAATTTTGGGGAAAAATTACATGGTATATTTGCAAAAGGGGAAGAAAAAACTTGATGTAAATTCAATATTTGGGGAAAACTGCATGATTTTAAAGAAATTTTCTTTGGGGAAGCAGCCCTATACCGGCCCCTGTAATAGAGGGTAAAAAGGCCCTGTAAGGTGACCCCTATTGATTTTGAGGTCACTGGGTCAAAGGTCAAGGTCACAGGGACCTTGACAAAAAAAAGCTTTTCTTCTCAATTGCTAAAGAATGTCCTGTCCGCAATGTATTGATTTTGACATTTTCACATTTGAAGCATGTAGATTACATAACTTAGCAATACACTGGCTTAGTAACCTCAGATTTGGCAGGGAGGTTGTCCTTGAGCTCTAAATGGCCACTGTTGATTCTGACAAAGTGGTATGCGGGGGTATTCACGCCATCATAGTGGCAGTTCTAGTTTAGTGTAGAGATCCTGGATAGTTCATCCCATGTGTTCATAATGACTGAACAGTTTCTGTCCACATGAAAAGTGTTAGTGTCAGAGTGACATTATTACCAAATTAGAATTAAAAGAATGGTTCTTCATGGAAAAGAAATGAAACCAAATTTTGAAATACAGTTGTTTTATGCTGATCTAATATTACCTTGTTCAATATATATTGCAGAATATTAACTTGGAGCCAGGCAGCACACTCCAGATTCATGTTATTTTCTATGAAAATTTAACAATAAAAATTCTTTTAAATGGTAAAAATAATGTCCAAATGGCCCCATGGCTGATTAAAAAAAGGGTAGAAATATATTGACAAAGATAGTTAATTTTGTGATATTTCGAATATAAATGTAAAGAGTTTGATCTTAATGATATGATTACAGTTAACAGACGGGCGTAAATCTGTAGGTGGTAAATTGGAGGTTAAACTTCGTATCAGGGATCCTTTCAAGAGTAAACAAGTGGAGGAAGTGAAGGAGAAGTGGCTAGTTATTGACCAGTTCATCAAAACACTGGATACCCCACAACCTGTAAATATACTTACAATCAACTGTTTTGTTCAACTTTTAAAGGGACTGCACTGAGGTTTTTTGACATGACTTGGCTGAAAATATTTTTCTGAGACTTGCATACCAATATATAAGAAATTGTATGCAAATTTTGGCTCATTCCCTCATCCTGTTTTTCTATAGTTATCATTTTTATTGTGAAGAAAAACCACCTTAAAATGATAGGTGTTGCAATACTTTTCTCTCAAATTCGGCTAATAATCACATATAAGATAGATTTTCAATTTAATAATGAGTATTTTTCCAATTGAATTAAAATCTGCTCCTAAATTATCTATGCATTAGGATTTAACATTCACCCATAGGCAGTCATCTTCTTGTGGTCTTTCAAACAACCAATCATTTACAAGCTTTCATTATTTTGAAAGCGATGTAGTTTCTAAATTTAACCATTGGAAAACCAATACTGAGTAGGTAATTTTCATGATTTGAGAAAAAACATGACTTTGTCCATATAGCCGACAGGTTAACTGGGAAAACAATCTTGCCCATTTAAAATTGATTCTATTATTTCAAATTAATTTGTTAAAAATTACTTCAAACAATTTTTTCTAATAAAAATCAACAATGTGTTTAACTTTCACGGATAACAGTATTTTGATACGTCTTCTATGCCTATCTGTAAAACCAGTTTGATTGCATGGCTAAAAATAACTTTCTCAGGAAATCCGAATTATAAAGAAGGCGAAACATCATCAGATGTACATAGAAGAAATAAGTAGATCTGAACTTTAGGCAGATTGAGTATTTTTTGTTATCCTTTGTAGATTTTCCATTTTTAATGCTTCACTTGTTATTTGTAAGATTTTCAAATTTTTTGTTTTTACGCCTTTAGACCTCAGTGGAGTTTCTTTAACCTGCTTAAAGTGATTACTTTATGCCACTAGTGTAGAATCAATCCAGCAGGAAGTTTTAATTTACAAATTCAGAAGGTTATGGGTTAAGAAAATTGATAATTAATATAAAAAAAATTGTCATGCTACTTTTAACTTTTTATAAGGATGACATGGTTTTCTGCTTTGTTTGTCACTAAATGGGATTGTTGAATTACATTGATGCCAAAATTGTATCACTTTAGCCATTGTTAAATTAATTCCTACTGAAAGTTGGCCAGTCTTTTTCCAACCTAGGCCAGTTATTACTATTTAAGTTAAAACAATAGTAATTTGGAGTCAAAGGTAACAAGCAATTATAGGACATGGTAATTTTAAAGACAATGATTTCATGATATGTAAATTACCCAAATTAATAAATAAGGTTACAATTTTGAAGATTATTGTATCTTTAAGTTTCTTTATAATAGTAAAGAATTTTTTTTAACTTATTGATTTATTTACATACAGACATGCAATAGTAAAATTTGGATTCTAAGTTTGTATAGTCGTTTTTTGTTTGTTTTTATTTCAAAGGTCCAAGGTGGAGGAAAAAAGGGGTAAGTGAGATTTGTTTGTCTTAAATAAGGTAAGGTTTTTAACCGTTTTATTTCAGTAAACAGAGATAAGTTTCAATACTATAATAATTAATAAATAGTTAACTTTCATGTTTAATTTTAGTTAGTAAATGTAAACAAAGGATCTGGACAATAATTATTGTTTGCCCTAATGTAATCATAACATTTCGATAACATGTACAAGTGGTCATTATAACATGCCTTTACTACAACCAGACTCTGTACTGTGTACTAAATAACTTCAAATTTTCATATTGATGTCTTCAAAAGTTGATTATGGTATGGACTGTAATAAAAATGAAACTGAACAAGTACATTTAAGAAATTCAGCCAAAAATTATATATTTAAAGCTAACATCCTATTTAGAAGAAAAACGGTTTTTATTTCTATGCCCCCGCCATAAAATGGTTGGGGCATATCATGTTACCCTGTTCCGTCATTCCGTCCTTCTGTCATTCCATCATCATCAGTTTCTGTTTATTATCTTAGTAACGGTTGCACACATTCAACTCAAATTTGGAATATATGGATATATCTTGAGAAAATACAGATCAAGTTCGAATTTGGTCATGGTCCGATGATTTTTGACAGAGTTATGCCCCTTGATAAAATTTTCAGTTTCCGTTCATTATCTCCCCAACGGTATTACACATTCAACTCAAATTTGACATATGGATACGTCAAAGGAATGCGCAGGTCAAGTTCAAATTTGGTCATGGTTCGATGATTTTTGGCAGAGTTATGCCCCTTTCACTTTGAAAAAAAATATGAAATTTTCAGTTTCTGTTCATTATCTCCCCAACGGTATTACACATTCAACTCAAATTTGAGATATTGATAGGTTAAAGGAATGCGCAGGTCAAGTTTGTATTTGGTCATGGTTCGATGATTTTTGGCAGAGTTATGCCCCTTTCACTTTGAAAAAAAAGGAAATTTTCAGTTTCCATTCATTATCTCCCCAATATATATAGATATTCTATTCAAATTTAAGAGAGGGATATGTCATAAGAAAACACTGGTTAAGTTCGAAGTTCGAGTTTTCCCTCTTGAACTTTGAAAAAAATCAGAAATTTTTAGTTTCCGTTCATCATCTCCCCGATGGTTGCACACATTGAACTCAGATTTGTCATATAGATACATTTTAGGAATAAGCAGTTCAAGTTCAAATTTGGTCGTGGTTCAATGATTTTGGACAAAGTTATCTCTCTTGACTGTTGGAAAAATTTTGAATTTTCAGTTTCAGCACTCATACTTTTGTTGAAATGTATGTAGTCATTATTTTTAAATATGCAGTATGCAATTTACAAAAGGTTAACACTGAAAAGTTTCAGTGCCTTGAACTTTGTATAAAAATGATTTATGTTTGCATTGAATAGATTTAAAGGCTTTGAACTTAAAATGAAAAAAATAATTTGTGCAAACTCATTTTGAACCAAATATTGTAACATCTGAAATTTGGCTGCATGCGGGGGCATCTGACACATTTCAAGCTTTTTTCAAACAAGAAAATATTATGCTTTGTTCAATTTGTCAGTGCTGTTAAAGAGATAGTTACATTTAGATGATCTGGTTTTTAGTGCTATGAGAGGTAGTTACATTTGTTTGATCTGGTTATTAGTGATCTGGTTGTTAGTGCTACAAGATAGTAACATATATTTGATCTGGTTGTTAGTGCTACCAGATAGTAACATATATTTGATCTGGTTGTTACATTAAGTGTGCAGACACCTGATCACTGTTTCTTTCTGTGTCATTCACAGGAACCAGAAGTCTCGTGCCTGCACACTCATGTGACAAGCAGCTCTATACACACAGACAGACAGATGGGCAGACAGACAGACAAACAACATACATGTGTACAATCATAAACAGTTAACTCCTGTGATCAAATATGGACTTATATTTTCTTTTTTTAATTAAAAAAAAATGATATAGCTTTATACACTTTAAGATTTGCGCAGATTTTAATTAAACCTATTTGTCTTGCCATGGTTAGGATACATTTTAGGTTACTTTGTAAGTTAAAGTTATCATCTTAAACTTTGTTGATATGATTAGGCATAGAAATACATTAACATGTAGAAATATTAAGGGGCTATAAGGTTTCAGACTTAAGTTTTAGACTTAATTAATTTGTGAAATCTGATTTATTTAAGATAATGAAATTAATAATCTGCACAAAATTGTATTTATATCTTATATAGATCTGATTACTGAGAACTTTTGAAACGTTGTGATTTTATTTACTAGTCATGTAGCATTTTTGTTTTTCTTAGTAAATGCAATGAAGAACATGATTTATATGAAAATATAGTTTCATTTTGATATATCTTTTTAATTCATTCATTTAATATACATATATTATGAATACATTCCGTCCTTTATTTTACATTGGATTTATGGGTATATTTTTCTCTTACTTTTTGCAGTAATTATAGTATTTAGTCATATTTACATTATGACTGTGTAAGGAAATCCATGGATGCTGTTTTTAGCTCACCTGTCACAAAGTGACATGGTGAGCTTTTGTGATCGCTTTTCGTCCAGCTTCCGTCCGTCTGTCCGTAAACTTTTACTTTAAACGATATCTCCTCATAAACGGCTAAGCCAATTTCATCCAAACTTCACAGGAATGTTTCTTTGGTAATCAACTTTAAAATTTGTTTAAAGAATTTAATTCCAAGCAGACCTCTGGTTGTCATGGCAACCAAAAGCAAAAACTTTAAATATCTTCTTTTAGAAAACTGAACGAGCTAGAGCTTAAATATTTGGCATGAAACATCATCTAGTCCAGTGTCTACCAAGTTTGTACAAATAAATGCCCTGGGGTCAAAATTGGCCTGCCCTGTGGGGGGTCATTGATTTTCCTTATTTGTATATAGTAAAAACTTAAAAAAAACTTCTTTTAAAAAGCCCAAATAGCTAGAGCTTAGATAATAAGCATGAAACATCTTCTAGTGGGTGTCTACCAAGTTTGTTCAAATAAAAGCCCTTGGGTCAAAATTGGCCCCGCCCCAGGGCAGTGATTTTTTTTTCAATTTTCAAAACAACCTGTGGCTTTCTGAAGGGGAAAATATAGCGTGATAAATCAGAAAAGGGGAAAATCAAATTCTAACAACTGAGAATGGTTCACCCACACATGTTTTAGAATGTTCAATTTCAATTCAATTTAACATCCATGATACATGCAGGGGCTATCTGTAGGGACAGTGTTCTGTCTTAAGCTGATATAAGTCAGCTGCTGTTAAGTCATCGCTCTAGTGAAAAATGTGCAAAGGGCATTTTAGGGGGAAAATAATAGCATTTTTAGGGGAAAATATACCTATTTAGGGCTAGGGGTAACAGCCTTTATTGGGCTGTAAAATGCAGGAAAAAATTACTGCAGGGGTCATTGTTTTTCCCTTTATGTATATAGTAAGATCTTCTTTTAAAAAATCCAAAGAGCTAGAATTAAGATATTAAGCATGAACTACATTCTAGTGAGTAACTACCAAGTTTGTTCCAATAAAAGCCCCTGGGTTAAAATTTGCCCGCCCCGCCCAGGTGAGCGATTTCAGGGTCATCATGGCCCTCTTGTTTAATATTATTCTTATCTTCATAGAAATTATATTTTTATATATATGTCTGTGATAGTCTATACAGTTTATTACATCACCTCATGATCTGATATTTGAAATCTTATATTACTTCAAGAGTGATTTATGATTTATGATAATTAATATCATTTATGCTGGTTCTAGTTTACTGTTTTAACTCTTTGTAGATAATTTCGTGCAATTGTACACTGTGACTTTTTAATTTGATAGTCAATTTTAGGAATGTTAGGATTGATTATCAGGATGGAATATCAGAATTAATTCAGGTTTGATATGATATCAGAATTTAATATCAGGACTGAATATCAGAATTGTATATATATTTTTGAATATCAGAACTGAATATCAGAATAGAATACAAAATTGAATTTCAGGACTGATATATTATCAGAATTAAAGCATGGCTGAATATCAGAATTTAATATGAGGATTTAAAATCGATCAGGACTAACTATCAGGACTAATTATCAGAGTAGAATACAAAATTGAATATCAGGAATGCCTTAGGTTGAGTAGTTTAGATTGTTTACTTCAAACCACTTGCCCTATGCCGCTGTGGGTTAGAATCCAAACAGGGACTTTGGATTCTGTTTACTGGACATCATTGATTATTCTCAGGTGCCCATCTGTGCACGGAGAGCCCTTGAGGTTTTTCTTTTTCAGTAAAGTTGCTAAATCACCCTGTCAGTGTTAAAGCAACATAAAATCCAACAAACAAAATAGGGTTATGCTATTACTATTGATAAACCAACATAACTGAATATTTTCATACTACTAGTAAAATCTAGGTGGCTTTACTATTATCAGATGTCATATTCACCACAAGTGCTCAAAGTGTTAATATACAACATACCGGTACATGTTTAAGTGTTCTTAAGATGAAAAATTTCACTTTGTCCACATTGTGTGTCTCTCTGTAATTTATGTGCCTTATTTTATCTTTACTGATGTTTTTATATTTTGCCAGATTGTTGTACATATATATGATTTAATATAGTTGTTGATTTTTACGTCTTTTGTTATAAATAAATCAGAAATCAGTATTGTTGAATTTCATTTTTTTGTTTTTGTGATATGTTATATTGCATACATATAAAAAGAAATCATATCACCCAGTAATTATATTAAACAATTGAAATTATTGCTTGTACATGATGAAATAATCAAGCAGTTTTAAATTAGGATTAGAATTTTTTGGTCCAGGCAGAAAAATATACTTTTATCATGGAAAGTTGTTACGAAAGTCTGTATGTTTGATGATTCTTCACACTAACTGTTAAATTGTTCCAGAAATTAAGCAATATTGACTAAACCTATACACACTTAAAATGTGAGTCCTTGGACTCTGTATTCCTGTAAACTTTATGACTACATAATTATGAACCCTGGTGTTTTTAATATGCGAAAGATTTATGACTAGTGTAAATGGAGAAAAAAATCGTAGTATCAATACATATTTTCAGAGGTACAGAAGTAACAACAAATGCTTTTGTTAATGAAATACTTACTAACTTTTAGCTCTACATATTTTGACAGAATTGTCCAAACTATATATTTGTGTATTATCGGATCTGGTTACCATTCTCATCCAACGAAGAAGTAGTATCTCCTGTGGTCTTACCATTTACATGGATCTTTTAAGGCTTTATGGCATTGCACATTTGTAAGGTCGCTTACAAATGTGTAGTGCCAAACCCCAGTAAGTTCCAGGTAAATGGTAATATCACTATTGCTCAAATTGTAATTTCATTGGGCAGTAATTATGGTTATATATTGCGAATACATGACTGCTGCAGTTTTAATTTAATCAATGGATTCAATTGAGCAATATTATGAAAACATAATGAAAGGCTTTTGACCGGTTATATTTGGTGATGTGGAAAGGGTTGTTATATAACACTCGCCCAACAGGTTATATAAGCTTTTTAAAGCAAATAAATTTAGTACAGACAGTATGCTTCTGTTTGATTTCAGAGGCCATGCCGGATCAACTTGTATGGAAGTGTTGAAATTTGAGAAACAACAGCTAGATAAACAGGTAAATTTCTCACTTAATCCACAGTTTAAAATGAGCTTTATTTGTATACGACATAGTTGTAACCCTTACGCTCCTGAATTTATATTTATGAATTTGCCCTGTCTTAAATTTGGAACTGTCCATAGTTATTTAAAGAGGTTTTGATATCAAAAAGCTAAATTTATGTAACCAACAGTGTAGAGTCTGGTCAGATTGGACCTGGTTGCATAGGTTGGTCAGTGTTTGAATCCTAGGGAGATGCAAGTATATTTACTGTCCTCGCATTCCTCCCACTGTAATGAGCAAATGAATTTTTCAAATAAGTCTCCATAAATTGTTTTAGCTGCCTGTTGATTACTAAAGGTAACTGTAATAAAATGAAAAATGAGATATACTTATTATTGTAATGATTATAAACTGAATTTGTTCTTAAATTTTAATATACAATAAATATCATTCAAAATTAACAGACATTTAAATGTTCTTCTTCCTGTCTTGCAGATATCTGGTTTGAGGGACAGTTTAAGTGCTACACAGTTAAATGCATTGAGTGGTAAAAGTAAACTTTTACAGCAGAAGATAGAACAGCAATCAGCATCACTGAAAGCTGGGGGAACAGACGCTTGGAAAGGTAAGAAATGATGCTAGGTATTGAGATGGTTTTGCTAAGGTGCTAGTGTTAACCTTAAATAATGGAAGAAAGGAATCTGGTTTTCTTTTTCTATCACTTAAAGATGGCCATTTCAAAATGAATTGGTTCTGTAAAGACGTCTGTGAAGCACTAAATAATGGAAAAGTCTGGTGTCTTCTTCTGCCAGTAGAAGATGGTCGTATCAGCCTTAATTAACACACAGACTGTGTCATTGTACATCAGTTAAAGATAGAAAGAAAGAAGCAGGTTGTTTGTAAGTTTTGCATAAAAAATCTAATCAGACAAGAAAAGGAAATAGCTTCAAACCTCATTCAAATTTAAGAAAACCATCACTTTGAGAAAATATAATGGTTCAGAGGGAAGCTTACACTGTCGGGTGCCATGCACTGAAGGAATGCCAATAACAGTAACAGTGAATAGGCATGCATTAAATATTTACTTTCAATAACATTAATATTGCCCAGGCCTGCATTCAAATGACTAGAACTAATATCATTGTTGACAATTACACTATTCTTAAACAAAAGTTAATTAATTTTGAATATATGGCAATGACATGTAATATATGGCAATATTATGTTATAAGTGTTGACTTAAAAGATATTTCAAAGCCTAAAGCAGAATTACAGACATGTTATAATATTAACAGATTATGTAAAGTTGGTAGACGAAGATATTGTAGCATACGCCACGGAAGGTAAACAGTACGCACAACATGGAGACATGCAGAAAGCACAACTTATGCTCACCAAGAAAAAACTGGCGGAAAAAGAGGTGAGTGGATTAAAATCAATGGATCAGTAATGTTAAGAACATATGATATTGGTATGTGTCTTTATTCTTCCAAATAATAGTGGACATATTCCACTAACATTCTCAATCTGAGACAAATCTCAACCTGAGATTGTCTCAATAGTGACTGAGATTTTGACTTTGAGAACGCTAGTGAAAGGCGAGCCAGAACAAAATTTGTTATGTCTAGAACATGCTTTATCAATTGATTAATGCTATATTTTCTTTGTATTTCAGGTGGCGGCAATTAGGACCAAGATACCTAACATTTGATCACTTGATAAGAGACAGACATTCATGGGGAAAAAACTGATCAAAAAGACCAATGTCAAAAGATATTTGTGTTTTGTGACCATGTGCCTAAATATATATACAGACACAGTCAAACAAGAAATATAATTTTATTGACCTGTGATTAATCAATTCCGGGTGTTGTTCACGTTTGCTAGGTACAAATTTAGCTTTTAATATTGTCTATACAAAAAGTCAGAATTCTTTAACTAAGATGATGAGACATAGAATTTGTTATTTAGAAAAGTGAATTTTTTTAGATCTTTATTTGAAAGAATAGGAAAAATTTATCCAACTCATCAATACATGGTGTTGGTTAAGGTGTCAACTTTATTGTAACCTCTTTGTTTAGATTTTTCTGGTGAACATATTTAGGTATGGCATTGAAACTTGTTTATTAACCTTCACCTTCAATTGTAGGCAGACAAAACAGAAGTGTCATGGATTTTAACATGGTTATATTCCTGTTTTGGGCCTTTTTAGACCTGTAGTGCAACTATCAAGCACTGACGATAGTTTATCATGTTGCTCATTGCTCAGTTGTTTTGATACCTGATATTTCTAGATATCTGATGTAATTAGTTTGTTTCAGTGTATATTCAGGTATTGTTTCATGAATTTTTGTAACAGAGCTTTTGTGCTTGAAAAAAGTTTTCCCTACTATTAAAAGCATAATACTTATCTGCTTTTACAGTACTTGTACATACAAATCTTTGAAAATTTGGTCACAACAGAGGTTCTGGGTTTTATTTTTACCACCACATGCCTGTTGTTTATGAAATAATATTATTTATTCATTTCAAAATTGTATGTAGATATAATGACAATATCATAATAGATACAAATGATGTTTTAATATGTATATTTGTTAAAATAAAATATGTATATTTAACTTAAATATGGAAAAATGGTTTCGAGACATATTTTTGGCTTTTCAATTCAACTCTGGCACCAGTTAAAGGTTGGCTTAGGTTTTGCATGCATTTTCATTTCTTTTTATATTCACTGTCTTAAGTCTTATTTGAAGATTATTGACCTGTAACTCTTGCAGTGATTTTACACCAATTATTTGCTTTAAGTTAGTGAACTTGGATTATTCCAGGCTCTTGTTAAACACTGAGAATAGTAGAGCAAACTGTCCGAAAGGCAGCTCTTGTTTTGTGAGGGTTTTTTTTGTTATCTTTGATTGCAAAATTCATCTAGTTTTCTTATAAAGTTTTATTTGTTGTAATTGTTTTACCTTGTTGTTATTTTTCATTAGTTATTGTATAATATTATGAGCAAAAAAGAGAAAACAAAGCGCCTGTTTTTCTGTATAAAAATGAATTTATTTATTACATATAGGATAACAAGTTATGAATAAAACAATATATGACATGAAGTTTTAGTGTTTTGTAGTTCCCCAGTTAGCACTGACCTCTGTAATAGAAAAAAATCAAAATATATTTATTAAATATAAGTAATTATGTAAAAAAAAACATGTTTAATCTTTATAATCTTAGCATGAAGATGAAACTTCGATTGTTTGCAGGAAACTATGTGCGATAATTGAAAATGCAAAATTGGACTCTTTATTTGGGCTTTTTTTAGAAGGGAGGTTAGCTTAATTAAATGACGTGAAAGGCCCTGTCCGTGCCTGACAAATGAAACCTACAGTGGGCTACCGGGAATCATACATGAACTTGATTGTAATCATTAAATACTCCTGAATGTTTATCAACTATATAGTCACACCGTCTTACAAAATCTGTTTCAACATAATTATTTTAGCTTAATTGAATCACTCCAGGTAGCTTCTTTAAAGTAAGTTGTTCTCATGCTGGTGTCATGCTAAATGGTTTAAGGCAACATGGCCATAATCTGTTGCCATAATGGAAGTATAGGGCTTAAACCTACGAGACCTGGATTGAGAGGCAGACATCTTGACCACCTGTCTCATAAGTGAGCAGTGATCAGAATGTTGGGTTTGACAGTTGTTATAATATAAAAACAGTTATCTTACCAATAATATATACAGAGTTACCTTATCAGTAGTATTTACAGAGTTACCTACCCTAGCATGGTTTTCTCTGAATAATTGTTATATCCTAGGCATGTTAATTTAGCTTCACAATTTCCAATAATAATAGTTTGTCCAGCAGCGTACACACGGCCATCAAACAGACATCCAGCTGTAATTAAAATACTGTATATTATGTGGCAGTTATTCTCCATCGTTTAATCTTAACTGTGATATAAAATGCTTCAAGAATTATATAGGACACTAAGCACGTTAACAGTCTAATATGAATTATAACTAAACATATTCGATTATTATTTATTTTTAACTGAATATGATGGAAAGTTGCAACTGAACTGAATAGTGCAACACTGATGAGCATTATAAAACTAGACATGTATGTACAAAATAAAAAATCCACCAATTTCACTTACTTTGTCCGTTTACATCTCTTGATTGTTTTTCCGAGCAATCTCCACTAAAATAAATAAAATAGAATAATTAAGAAAATATTCATCAATTCCAGTTTATTGGACGTCAATGTCAGAAAAAATTGCCATTCATTAAAAAAATGGTTATATTATATTAACACTTGTTTATTATTTATGGATTTGCAATAATATTGAAAATACGAAAAACTTCAAAATCTATCTTGAAGCAGATATATATAATCTACAATATATTAAATTATTATCATTGTTATGAGATAATTAACAAGAAAGTTCTTGTTCGTGGCTTCAGGTCACCTACTGCTCACCTTGGAATATTTTTTCCTTGACAAAGCGGTTAAGGTCAAAATCACTTGTCATGCAGTGTTGTATTTTGGTTTCGAATCCCGTCAGGACTCTTGATTTATTCATGTGAGGACATTATCCAGCTAGCTTTAAGATCAATGGTCCTACTTAAGATTCCGCTAGTGCCTGAAAATATGCACGAAGGGGACACCTGAGGTCTCTACCAGAAACCTTCATAGTGTCAGGGTGACAAAATCCAATAAAAATACTTTTGTACGAAAAATCGCCCAGTTGTGTTTGTACAGTATTCAGGTTCAATCAAGGTACCTTCTTTTGTCTCTTGGTATGCGTGCGCCTCTGGGTTCATCCGGGTTCTTCCGCCACAATTGTATGATGTTTTCATACTTCTTACGAAGTACATATTCATACCGAAAACATTAATGATTTTGCTTTTTTTTAATTTAAGGTTTGAATATCGCAATAATACAAAAATTTACTATAGATTTACGCTAAAATAAGCTGCAGTTTTGTAAATTATAAAGGGTTGAGAAGCTATAAAGAGTTACCTACCCTAGCATTGTTTTCTCGGAATAGTTGTTATATCCTAGGCATGTTAATTTAGCTTCACAATTTCCTATAATAATAGTTTGTCCAGTAGCATACACACGGCCATCAAACAGACATCCAGCTGTAATAAAATACATCCTAGTGTCAAATATTTTATATATATAAAGAAGCCGTAACTCTAGATCTTTCGATTTCTGAAATATGTTATTAGTGCCTTTTTTAATTATTCAGAAAAGAGTTTTGACATGGATCTATGAGGAAAAGTACGAACAAATACCACCCGATCTACAGTAAATCAATAAATTAAAGGCTCTTTCGTACAATTTCATTAGTGAAGTGACGTGATGTTTTTGGGGGTTTTTTTATTAATATTAGTGGGAGTTTACGTTACTGAACAAATAGAACGAAATATTTTACCCGTTGATCGAGTTATATCAAGAAGGAAACAAGTCATAATGAATGTAAATTTATGAGAATAACTTACTTTGTCCATCCACATCTCTTGTTTGCTGATCTGGACAAACTCCGCTAATAAATGAAAATAATATACATAGTAATTCATGAATGATTGATTATAGTTTATTGAAAACGACCATCAACTAAGATTTACCATTACTTAAATGAACGTGTCATGTTTTGAATTTGAATCAAGTTGATTAGTGGGATAGAAAATGCTAAAATAAAGATATCAGTTATCAGTACGGAGCCTGGTAAAAAAATGCGTTGGTTTATATGTAGGAATGGTACCTGCTCAGGCAAGGTATGTTTAAAAACGAATTGCAATATCGTATTTTTTTACGTATAGGTCACTTTCATTCCACATCGTTAGACTCTTGTTCGTATTTGACTTAAGATGTTAAATATGTACAACTTGTTTTAAAATTTAATTGATAGCTTATAAATGCTACATATGCACATGAAAGAAATTGTGTGATTGCAGAGTTACCTACCCTAGCATTGTTTTCTCGGAATAACTGTTGTAACCTAGACAAGTTAATTGAGCCTCACATTTTCCTATAATAATAGTTTGTCCAGCAGCATACACACGGCCATCAAACAGACATCCAGCTGTAATACATGAAATGAATATTTAATATTTCTATATTTGGTATATTAAGGGACCATAACTGTTAGGTATTTATAACGAGTATTACATGTAATTGGGTTGTAAAAAGAACAAATTTTAAAATGGATCTCAAAGAATACACATGAAGATATAAGGTCTGTACTAGATTAAAGACACTCATAAACGCAATTACAATGAAGACACTGCAAAGGGACTTTAAACCTATAATTGGCCAAATATTCAGTAAAATTTTCGATGTTTGTATCATCATGTTTTTATATTATTTGACCAAATTTAGCTCTTTGATATAACAAGCATGAAATGCACAAGAATACAAAACTAAAGTTCTATCAACTACTTTGTCGGAAATTAAAAACAGAATTCTTTCAATTGACAGCCGCATGCTTGTGTGTATTGTTCATCAAAAATATTTATATTAGCAATAAGAAATATTTATAAATGAAGAGTGGCTTACTTTGTCCGTCCACATCTCTTGTCTGTTTGTCTGGGCAAACTCCACTAATAAATAATGAAAACAATATTAATCTACTTACTAAAATGAAGACTAAGTATAATGATTTCAGTTATCAACTGCACAGACTTATATTGGTTTCTTGAAACAGAGTTATATTAATTAATCTACAGACATCCTGATCAAACTACCCGGATGTCCATGTCGACATAGCTTTATGATATCGTCTGCTTGTCTCTTACATAAAAGCTGTCTCAGTTTATTAATTAATAACTAATAAGTTTCTTTAACAAATTAATTCCTGTCATTTACACAGCTTGCAACCACACCACCACCCTATTTCCCTCACTGTGAGTTCGAATATCTTGTTTGGCAAAATATACATGTATATTCAGATCGTATAAAATAGGAGTTCGAAGGCTAAATCTAGGCACAGGGTTATTCAAGCTTGAAAATGTTGAAAGAGACATACCGGATCTCTTAACGAAACTTCTGAAATTTTACCATAGATTAATAAAATACGCTCAAATATGATACATGTATGTTAATAAAAAAGGTTCGAGAAGCTATGAAAATCAAGAGTTACCTACCCTAGCATTGTTTTCTCGGAATAACTGTTATATCCTAGACAAGTTAATTGAGCTTCACATTTTCCTATAATAATAGTTTGTCCAGCAGCATACACACGGCCATCAAACAGACATCCAGCTGTAATAAAATATCGAATATACCATTTTTATACTCTTATAATTTACGAGATTGCAATGGATGTGACTTCATTTCATATAAATTAATATTATTATCATACAATGTATTATTATTATTACTCACTTTGTCCATCCACTTCTCTTGCTTGTTTTTCTGGGCAAACTCCGCTGATAAATGAAGAAAAAATAAATCAATTGATTTACATTAAAAAAATATTAATAGACAACAATCTACTGCAGTTGATACTGACCTGTCACAACAAGCGAATACTGTAACATACTACGGCTGCACAGAGCGGACACAATTATCCTTAAAGCATCCTTGAACATTGTTACTGCATAAATAATACATGAACATTACTAACAAAGTGGACATTGCTACTGCAGAAATAACATAGTGAGTATTACTCACAGAGTGAACATTGTTGCTGCACAACAAAGACAGTAAAGATTACTAACAAAGTGAACATTGTTACTGTACAAATTACACAGTGAAAATTACTCACAAAGTGAATATTGTTAATGCACAACATTACTCATAAAGCAAACATTGCAACTGCACAACTTAAACAGTGAACATAACTCACAAAGTGAAAATTGTTAATGCACAACTTACATAGTGAACATTACTCTCAAAGCGAACATTGTAACTGCACAAATTCTACAGTGAACATTACTCACAAAGTGAATATATTGTTAATGCACAACTTACATAGTGAAAATTACTCCGAAAGCGAACATTGAAACTGCACAAATTCTACAGTGAACATTACTCACAAAGTGAATATTGTTAATGCACAACTTACACAGTGAACATTGCTTACATAGCGAACATTGTTATTGCACAAATTACACAGTGAAAATTACTCACAAAGCGAACATTGTTATTGCACAACTTACACAGTGAACATTACTCACAAAGTGAATATTGTTAATGCACAACTTACACAGTGAACATTACTCACAATGTGAACATTGTTACTGCACAACTTACACAGTGAACATTACACACAAAGTGAAAATTATTACTGCACAACTTACACAGTAAACATAACTCACAAAGTGAATATTGTTACTGTACACATTACACAGTGAACATTACTCACAAAGTAAAAATTGTTAATGCACAACTTACACTGTAAACATTACTCACAAAGCGAACATTGTAACTGCACAAATTACACAGTAAACATTACTCACAAAGTAAACATTGTTACTGCACAACTTACACAGTAAACATTACTCACAAAGTGAATATTGTTACTGCACAACTTACACAGTGAACATTACTCACAAAGTAAAACTTGTTAATGCACAACTTACACTGTAAACATTACTCACAAAGCGAACATTGTAACTGCACAAATTACACAGTGAACATTACTCACAAAGTAAACATTGTTACTGCACAACTTACACAGTAAACATTACTCACAAAGCGAACATTGTAACTGCACAAATTACACAGTAAACATAACTCACAAAGTAAACATTGTTACTGCACAACTTACACAGTAAACATTACTGACAAAGTGAACATTGCAACTGCACAACTTACACAGTAAACATTACTCACAAAGGGAACATTGTTACTGCACAACTTACACAGTGAACATTACTCACAAAGTGAACATTGCAACTGCACAACTTACACAGTGAATTTTACTCACAAAGTAAACATTGTTACTGCACAACTTACACAGTGAACATTACTCACAAAGTGAACATTGCAACTGCACAACTTACACAGTAAACATTACTCACAAAGTGAACATTGTTACTGCACAACTTACACAGTGAACATTACTCACAAAGTGAATATTGTAACTGCACAACTTACACAATAAACATTACTCACAAAGCGAACATTGTAACTGCATAACTTACACAGTAAACATTACTGACAAAATGAGCAATGAAACTGCTTATTTGGACAATATTGTAATACTGTTTAAAACCCCTTTCAAACGCACATATATTTTTATCATGAATAATAAACGTTTATGTTTTTCCCGAAATACTTCATTCGGCGTGTTTTTAAAATAAATGATCGAATCCATGAACTTATATATCCTTGAACTTGCCTTGTAATAATGTAGTGAAGGGCGCCTTTCGGTATGTTCATTAGATTCTCGTGAATTTCTATGTGAAAGACTAAGTTATTATGCTGAAAACGTGCTTAAGTAGAATGAGTTGCACAAACAGAAGCAAAATAACCTACCCTAGCATTGTTTTCTCGGAATAACTGTTATATCCTAGACAAGTTAATTGAGCTTCACATTTTCCTACAATAATAGTTTGTCCAGCAGAATACACACGGCCATCAAACAGACATCCAGCTGTAATAAAATATCGAATATAACGTATTGGTAGAAGAAAAAAAACTTTATATTTTGCCATACAGTTTTCAAAATTTCTATTTCGCAGGAAATATCAACAACTTAACTAACTATTGGACATTTTCGCATATAATAATAAGGTATTTGGAATTCAATTATAAGTCAATTAGCATACCTTTAGCTAATTTAGCTCTACTTGATGGCGAATCATAAGCATAGTATATCGAAAATTCAATGATGAAGCAAAAAAAAATGTATATAATTTTGAAAAATACACACTTTGTCCGTCCACCTCTCTTGCTTGTTTATCTGGGCAAATTCCACTGAAAAAAATGAATGCAACGTTCATTAACATATTGCAATGGTATAGAGATACATTTGTAATTCGCTCACTTGTACTCTGGACAGTTTCATGAAAATTATTGTATACTAACCGTATACAGTTGTTGGTGGTGGTTTTTTTGTTGCTTTTTTGAAAGTTTTACCAGTCACTTATTTAAGTTTTAAATACAGGATGACCTCAGAGCGTGCAGGCATAAAAATCAACAACAAACAAACAACACACCGTAATATGGATAAAATTCTTAGTAAAATAGTTAAATAGTAAAAATCTTTTCACGAGACCTTCTAATAGGTAAAAAGCCAAGACAAATAAATAAGTCTTTAAACGTCTTTTAAACTCAAACATATCGAACAATTAATGTTGTCAAAAGCATATTCATTTAGTTTACATGAACATGCACATTACTAGAACAATGTACCGTCAATGAAACATGAAGTGTATACTTATTCATATACTACGTCACTATTTGACGAATTACTACTGCATTTTGAAGATTTCCCCAACTGTAACTTTAAAGGGACTCCACTGTGGTTTATCGACAAAGCGAGACGGGAAATAATTTTCCGAGATTAATGTTCCATTTGATGTAGGTCTAGACCAATAACTTGTGTTCAAAATTTCATATCATTTGCTCTGTCCGTTTTTCCAGAATAATTATTCTAATGGTGAAAAAAATACAATTTTCAATATATTTCTGAGTATATTTCTCAATAAATTTTTGAATATCTTTCTGTTTAAAGTGCCCCGGCCGATCTATGTAAGATATTCAAATTTAATTTGGACCTCGGTGTAGTTCCTTAAATCAACCGTTTCAAAATATGTCCTTACTCGAGCTCCTTCATGTTTCCATAACTTTCGTCACCAAGGCATTCGATGGTGCCCAGACAACCCTTCAACAATATAGTCTCACCCGCTGCATATGCGAACCCATCAAAGTGGCAAGGACCTAGTGAAAAACAACACAATCTTATTTAAGTTACGTAAGAACGGGTTTGTATGCAAACTTTTAAATTCCAGCCCGAGGTTTATATGTCTTTCTTTTTATGTTAGTTATACGAATAACAATTATACGAATCATGTGTTTGTCCTATTTAATTCTTGTTTCATTCCATGATAATGAGCGAAATAATCTTCAGTTATAACCATAAAAAATATTTCAAACAAAATGTTTTTGAAATAAAACCACTTATTTAACATGGAATAATGTTATACATGTATATACGTGCTGCCTACAAAAGTCATGTATATTAACTTATACATTACTGTGAGTTCGAATATCTTGCTAGGGAACAGTTGAATGATATACTTAATAATAACAATTTGATATACTTTGATTTTTCTATTTGTTACAATTAATTTAACAAACAACTCGCATCTTTAAAACCATGACGATTTTACGATTCGAAATTTATTCCTTATTCTGTATACGAAAAACATGCAACTAAAGTTTACCTTTAGATACAGATGGAGCTGCGTTGGCGTAAACAATGCACGCGCAAAGAAGAATAACGAACATGGTGCTGCGTTTTGTTCTGTATATCAAAGTGAAAGAACTTTTTAAGATATTGTCCTTTTATTATATAATTGCACATGGTGATTAACGTGATTAGAACTAGGTCGCTTTCATAACTGATTCCTATTTAATGTCACGCCACACAAAGCATGGAAAGTTTAGCCTATATTTTCGAAATATATGTTACCAATTTTTGTAGAGGCCCCAGTGCACCATATTTTATAGTTTTACTTTAAAAAAAAAGTCAGGCCAATTGCACTATGTGTTGTGTGACTTTGGTCCGCTCTAGGGGTCAGTTGTCACATGTGCCCTCAGTATTAATGAAATTATCTAAAGGGACTCCACTGAGGTTTAAAAGCCTAAAAACATAACATTTGAATGTCTTACATAAATGAGCTGCGGCACTTTAAACAGAAATATAAGAAAATACAGTTAAGCAATATACTTTGAAATAAATAGAAAATCGTATTTTTATGCTTTTCTTAGCCGGATTTGAGTGTAAAGCGTTTAAACGCTTTTCATTTTGGGTCATTTTTTTACAATTTGAATAATTACTCTGGAAAAAACGAAGTGCGCGAATGGTCTGAAATTTTGCATAAAGATTATTGGTCTATCAGGACATTTATCTGGAAAAAATATTTTCAGTCCCATCATGTCAAAAAACCTCAGTGGTGTCCCTTTAATAGCCAAAATTTATCAGTAATAAATTAATATAAATGCTCATTTAAGTAAGTATTATAAAGTAAAGATTTTAGTATGCATTACACGCGTATTTGCTCACATTTTTAAAATATTGCATACCATTTCCCAACAGACATACCCACGTGGGTCAAGTTTGGAAACCACCACTTAATTATTATTTATAAGGAGAAAAGTTTTGTTCCTGTTACTGCCTAATGTATTCATTTTGAGGACATTTACATAATAATGAATGAAAAATTCAAAACGAAGAAATAAAAAAATTGCCCGAGTCTCACCTTTAACATCAATAACATAAAGTCAGAAAAATATTGGAAGAGAAAGGAAATGTTGTTGCTCTTTTCAGGGTCTTTCAAATAATTTTGAAAGACAGTTTGTGTCAAAGACGCTATCCGTAGATACACATTTGTTAGGATTGATTAAAAAAAAACTTATTATAATTGATATGAATTTAAACATTTCTTCCTTGTTTAAATTCATATCAATTATAATTAGTTTTTTTAATCAATCCTAACTTTGAACTTGTGCTGAAATAAGTCCTTATTCTGAAAGTTATTTAAATTCTGAATTAGTATTAAGTCCACTCTCAGGGAACCTCTTTTAGGAACTGATAAGGTTGAGTTCAATGTCAATGTTATTGAGGTTACCTTTAAGCAGCGGAAAGTAAGATAATTAGCAAAAATCAGTGACACTCGTTTTATCTGAGAGCCTTCTGTGATTATTATAGGATAATTGTCCTTTTTAGCATATGCACAAACAACTGTCTAAAGCTTGGTGATAAAAAATATATCAACATTTGCAGAATGTTAAATTCGGTATTTGACATCGTCGTTAATAGACTCAATTTGTGGAACAAGTCAAACATTAAAGTGTATAAACTGTGAAGCTTTCATTATACATTTGTCACAGAATATTTTGAAGGACTCTATACTAATCATTTATGAGGGGTATTATTTATAAAAACGCGCTACCGTTGCTACTTACATGTATTAAAATATGCCCTCGTATTTCAACAGATATAGCTTTATACACTTTAATGCCACCAAAGACATAAACATCGTCTGCAACAAATAAATCTATGGAAAAAGATAGCACTAAATAAACATGACCTGGATTTCTTTACGAATCCGTCAAAGACCACATTATTTAACAAAAGGGTATAAAGTAGCCTGGGTTCCAGTCTGTCGATTTTTATGTGCTTCTGTATTGCAAATCGACATTATCAAAAACACGAACGAATATGAATAGCGTGTATGTTATGACTAAGCAAAAACTAAAGACATATATGTTATAAATAAGCAGAAACTATTAACGCCTGAAACTATTTATTAGATGCTTATAAATGAAATAATGTGAAATGTTGATGAAATAAAATGCGTATTATTATTATCTGTCTATTTATTATATAAATTTATTTTTCACTGCAGTGAAACATATTTTTCGTATTTTCACTGTTGTCATAAACAGATTTTTTTTATAAATACAGGATTTATTTTCATCTTGTGTGATGAATGGGGGGGGGGTGTCCAGCATCAATTTGTTTATAAAATGACGTAATAGTGTGCACACTCGAACATTAAAAGGGTGACATACGAGTGTCACCCAAACAATAGATATACACACACACTTGTGTCACTATAATCATAGCTTCATGTGCACAAATGTTTTACCGCAAATACTTTAACTATAGAATTAAAAAAGGCGTATAACTGTTAATTAATAACTTAATCTGTTCACATAAAAGTTTAATATGGTTCATAACTTTTATTATTTAATCATCTACTATACGACAACAGATTAAGTAAATCGACCTCAATAAATATCAACAAAAATATGGAACTTTAGTTAAATGCGAAAACGAATATGTTCTGTTTTCTTTTGTTATGGAGAAACAGTTATGTGCACATGAAGCTATTATTATAGTGACACAAGTGTGTATGTATATCTATTGTTTGGGTGAGACACGTGTGTCACCCTTTCTATTGTTCGAGTATGTACACTATCACACGGTGTACAAGACGTGCTTGGTTCAAGCGAGCGAATTTGTTGCAAACTTGACAAAATGGCGAACACGGCGTGATTTTTTGAAACGGGTGAACGAATTTTTGCCAGGAAAGTGGGTTTCTTTGTTATTTTGAAGTTCATTAGTATGTCTATTCCATAATGCAATATATATGCCACACTCGGTTAAAGGTTTCAGCATCCTAGATTCTGTTTTGACGAAGTTATTGAAGATATATACTGATCATGTTGATATTTTGAAATTTGACATGTATATATGAATATATAAAATCTGGGTGAAAGTATAAAGTGATATTTGTTGGTATACCCTGCATCAAATGCTTTAATGCGTATATCATGTCTCGTCTATGAATAAGGTAATTCTATATAATGAACCTACGTGCGTAAAGGTTACCTGTGCAACCTTATTTAATGCGCCACAATTGAAAGTGCACAATGACACAACGATAATATGGACTGATGTACAACTTGCTAAATGATGATGATGTTAATGATGATGATGATTATAATGATGATGATGATGATGATGATGATGATTATCATATGAACTACACAAGCAAGACTGAAACCATGAACTTTCATGTAATCGCTGATATCACAAAGTTAATATGGTTCAATTAAAATTTAAAATAAAAATGTAAACATTTACACAGATTTTAAAGCCGTCAAGATCCTAACTAGACAGATATGTATTGATACAGTTTTAATGAAAATGATACTAAATCTTAAATTGAAAGTGTTGCATATTGAAATGAAACGGATTTTCTCTCTGAAATCAATTGGAAAACGTAGCACGGAGGCAATCGGTTTGAAAATAGTTAGTAAGATGCATTGATGCCGTTATTTCAAGTAATGCCTTTAAAATTTATGGGGTCGTAATTGAACTTTATATGAAATATTCAGTATAACTGAATCTTAATCAATAATGATTTTCATCAATAGTATTTACGAATTCATCAGTGAGTAAATATCTACCAGTTCCCACAACAGAAAAACATATAACTATACTTCGCCACTAAAACCTGTTTTTTTAATTTTCTGTATACATGTATATGTGATTTTGTAATCTGGTATATATGCCAACCGATTTAAACTCAAGTTATAGCCTACAAAAAGTCCTCTTAGAGCAACATATATTAGATTTATAAGTATGGTTAAAGTACTAAATAGCGGACGTAATTTCTAAGAGTGGAAATATCCTTAAGACTCGTTCTATGTGAGAGACGAAAGACACGAAGAAACAATTATTGATAAATATAATGTTCTCTATAAATGTCATATCATAAACAACGATGTATGACGAATATGTGCTGAAGATTTCAGACTTAGATGAAGGTTAATATATCGTCAAGATCAGTGATCACGAACGAATTCGTTCTCTTTTTTTCTCCCTGAGACATACCATAACTTCATACTTTGGTATATACTGTTGTATCACAGTTTGGGAACCTTTCTGTTGAAAATGTGTCAGAGTTTAATTGTATATACATGTATATACATGCACAGTGCGTTAACTGGAGTGCAGGTATTAGTTATCCGCACTCTAGAGCATGCCCATTGATTGGCTCATTTTTGCTGGGGTTTACATATTGTGACGGCAGAGAAAGGGAAAGCGACAGAAATATCATGTTCCGGTTAACATGCCGGGGTTTCATATTTTGACAACAGGGAACGTGTTTTATGTTTGACTATGATACAAAAGAGAAAGAACATCAAAACACTCGGCAATCTGATTAATACTCGGGGGCTACGCCCGCTCGTACAAATCAGATAGCCTCGTGTTTCTATGCTCTTTCTTTTACTTATGCAGGAATATCAAAAATAACATAGGAACGTAGATTTGTGCAAAACTATATGAATCACTATATTATATTGTAAATCACAATAGCGCGTATATGGTTCCTGAGACATTATATTTTAAATTACAATGTACCGGTATATAATATATGACACTAGCAGTTTGGTAAATTTCCGAGGCATGTCGATTATCATAATAACAAAGTTTTATATGCGTTATTGTACTTCCACAAATGTCGCATTCTAAACGGTTGTCAGATCGTCATTTTCACCAGAGACATTTATAAAAGATATAAAGCCCGATGTTCTCAGAAATGATATTACAAGTAAAATATTGGATTCCTGGAAATATAATTACAGTATAATGCCACAGCAGCCGTATGTGTGTATTTTTATTTGCTTTAAAAAAATGGCCCGTTTACTTGAACATAGCTTAACCACATATTCAGTGTCAGTTTTCGTTATTTTCACATGACAAATACTTTACGATGATTTGTTTACATCGAAATCGTCAAATATTAACAGCGCGTTAATAATGACGTGAAGTATATACCCTGTACGTCACAACTATAAAT